GCCGATCACCATTCTACAAGAAGGTTTGGACTGGTCTCCAGCGCTGGTACTCTTGGTGATAATACTCGGTGTCGATTTCTATGGCCTACTATAGGCGAGCATGGGTCAAGATCGAAACCAGTCTAAGTCTTGTCTATCAATAGCTCATTTCAGTACTATCATAGTAGCCAGTATAGCATCAAGTCATTTCAAATGATGAAAGAAAAAAACCGGTATCGGTTCACTTACTGGACCCAACTGGTCTCCTAGCCAGCCCATACTGATCCTAGTAAAGTGGATCGGAGCCGTTATGGTACCGGTGTCTCCTAGCGAGAGCCCAATATGACGTAGACAGTGTATGAGTCAGCGTTGCAACATCAAACACCACCAATCTTGCAGAGATAGTCGATTTGAACATAGTAAAGCAACAACTTGATCACTTGATTGCGTAGTATACCTTCAGTAGCTTTTCCACCTAGGAGGAGACCCAAGCCCTCCTGCTATCTTCATGTTTTGCTAGATAGGCAATTTACTCAAGACTCGAGAAAAAGCTCAGCTATGGTCTAGTAAAGGCTATAAATACTTGATTACATAGAGTATCCCAAGTATCTTGTCCCTCTATTCTTGAGTTCTACATAGCCAACTTACTCAAGACTGGAGAAAAAGCTCAGCTATGGTCTAGTATAGGCTATAAATACTTGATTGCTTAGAGTATGTGAAGTATGTTGTCCCTCTATTCTTGAGTTCTACATAGCCAACTTACTCAAGACTCGAGAAAAAGCTCAGCTATGGTCTAGTAAAGGCTATAAATACTTGATTACATAGAGTATCCCAAGTATCTTGTCCCTCTATTCTTGAGTTCTACATAGCCAACTTACTAAGACTAGAGAAAAAGCTCAACTATAGTCTAGTATAGGCTATAAATACTTGATTACATAGAGTATGTGAAGTATCTTGTCCCTCTATTCTTGAGTTCTACATAGCCAACTTACTCAAGACTGGAGAAAAAGCTCAACTATGGTCTAGTAAAGGCTATAAATACTTAATTGCATAGAGTATTCCAAGTATCTTGTCCCTCTATTCTTGAGTTCTACATAGCCAATTTACTCAAGACTGGAGAAAAAGCTCAACTATAGTCTAGCAAAGGCTATAAATACTCGATTGCGTAGAGTATCCAAAGTATCTTGTCCCTCTATTCTTGAGTTCTCCAGTGTTTTTTGTTTAGAGCTTAAAGGTGTAAGAAAAAACCTTCCTATATCTACAGTACTGTATGTTGGATAGCAGTACTTAATGTGCAACTTACTCTACTGTCGACTGGAGAAAAAGCTCAACTATGGACTAGTAAAAGCTATACTTGATTGCGTAGCGTATCCTAAGTACCCTTTCTCTCCATTCTAGAATTCTCCAGTGTTCTATGTTTAGAGCATAGAGGCATGAGAAAACAAAATTTCTGTCTCTAGGATTGATAGCAATATTCACTGAACAACTTACTTCAGGTTGAAGAAAAAGCTCAATTATAGACTAGTAAGGGCTTCAAAGTACAGTGGGTAGCTTAATTAAGCACCCTTTCCATCTCTATTCTAGAAAAGTTATCGAGTGTTCTAGGTTTAGCGTAGGCGTAAGAAAAAATCGTCTATCTCTACGGGTTGATAGTAGTAGTAATGGCTGTACATCTTAACCAGCTTATTGACTGGAGAAATAGCTTAATTATGTACTAATAAAGCTTTAAACATTCGAATGCATAGTGTACTTTAAGTACTCTTTCTACGTCTCTTCTAGAGTAAACTGTATGTTGATCATAGTGTTTGGTATACCACTTGTTCGAGGCTTATTGACTCGAGATAAAACCCAACTATGGACTATAATCTACAAATTTCATGGCTGGACTAATCTCCTACAATCAAGATAAACGTATTGACAGGATAACTTTGAACAGGGACCACTCAGATAAAATAGTTGGCGGTGTAGAAGTAGCAGACTTGTAGAAAGAAAAAGTCTAACCCCTGCTGATAATAATAATAATACAGTACTGTGTCGACATATACCATACAGGTAATTAATTAATTATTTGTATGCAAATCAGTTATCAAGAGAAAGATAATATCTACTGCTGTAGGCCATCATAGACGAGTATGAAGGACTGTTTTAGCTTTTATTTGTCCATGGGCAAATGTAATTGTATTATACAGTATCATACTGTAAATCAGTGCTCCATACAATCCTATTGTTGATTGTGCTATGTTGTTAATGCCTAGATGTTATCCAATTTAGATGAGTATGTCATGCCATTTATAGCTTCTAGTACTCGTTGCTACCATAGAGATGGAAAAAAAAGCTAGATTGTAGTTTAATAATAACAATTTCAACTATGCCGTATTAGTAATAATCTTTCTTCACCAGCTTTGTCAGTATTGATATTCAATATTCATCATTAATTATTACTCGATTCCCATAGTAAAACCGTACTGTGCTTGGATAGACACTTAAGCCGCAACATGCTAGCACCAGTATACTAGAGATACTCTACAGAACATTACTACTTTGGCGGACAGATTGGCATTCGATGAACATGCAGTACATTATAGTTCTATTCGAATAAAACTGATCCTCTAGTAAGCATAGTAGAGTAACGTGGAATGTGAATCTGTAATACAGTAGCCCCAAAAATGGGGTTAGAACGAACAACATCTACAACTATATGAGTAATGTCCTATAGGTAGATAACCCATTTATAAAAACGTTAATAACCGACTATTGTAATTCTATTTTACACTTCTCAAGGCGTACAGTATTAATGTGCAGTACCTACAGTACTAGCAACAGTAGGAAAATAGAATTACGGCTATAGATAATCTCACACTGTATATATCCAAATGATAAATCGTAAAATAAAAAATGTAACCGTTAATTATAGATAGTGTACCGCCTTTGTAATTTATTATTTCATATTGATATTTAAAGGACAACCGTTAAAACAAATGACATACCGCCATCAGACAGTAACAATCGCTATCTAGAACTGTTAAAAAGAAAATGACTACAGTATGTAACCTACAACGTTCAAAGCGTCAAAAAACCAAACCTACATAAAAATTTCATAAAAAATAGCTAACGAATCAGGCGATTATATACCGACAAGTCTAGCATGAAATAGAAATAATATCCCACTGATCTATAAAGTGCTCCGTTTAGAATTATCAAAGTTGTAAATAGTATCTTTCTAACACCACAAGGTGCATGAAACGATTAATTAGTAATCCATACTTTGTAAGCAACTTGTATTTACTGCTGTAGGCACCAAGAACAGCTTTACGTCAGAAAAAATAGAATACGGAAACACTGTACAGAAGTAATCCATAATTAGTAATTAATTATAATGCTACTGTATACTATATAATAGATTATAAAGTCGGAAGCAATTTGCAAGCGGAAGAGGTTGCCAATTAATTCCATTCCTTAATAAAGGAACTTTATAAATTAGTAGCTTTCTACTTCGGTCGATGATGAACGTACTTGCAACTGCTTATCAGTTAAAATGCATTCCTTATTACTTGTAGATAATGTGATAATGTTAACATGTCGACTAAAACCTTCCATAATCAGCGAAATCGTACAAGCTCATGATGCTATATTCCAACATGCGAATCGTTAATACATTTATTCTGAAAAAAAAATATACATAGGGTCATATTAGTAGCAAATAAAGGTATTGTGTAAAAATGAAAGAAGAAATATAACTGTCTTATACAGTACACGTAAGCACAATATAACGGCTAACAGGTTACACCAAATTACTGCGATACCCTAACATAGCCTACAAGAATCTAATTTCAAATACAATAATTCGTTTCCTTACTGGTTATAAGGGGCGATCCCTTGGCTAAGGTAGTAACTAGGGCTGATGATCGGCTAGCTGGGCTTGTTCCAAATTTGTTCATTGCAAATGCACGGAATCTATAGGACGTCTCGGGCTCAAGACCTTCAATGATGGATTCGGTTTCTGAGTCTCTAAATCTTAATTGTGTCCATTCTTTACTACCTGTTGGTCTAAATTCGATTTGATAACCATTAATAGGGCTATTTCCATCAAAACTTGGAGCAGCCCACGAAACCAAAGCTTGCCGCCCAGAAACTTTTCGTACTACTGGAGCTGCTGGTGCCTCTGGCACATCTGCCACAATTACTTCACAAGAACATGTACTAGTTCCCTTTGAATTCGAAGCAACGCACTCATAAATCCCAGAGTCTTCAACTTGACTCCTTCTTATTGATAAACTCTCTGTTCCATCACTGCTTGAGGTCGTTCTAATTCTTCCACCACTTAGTAACTCCTTTCCGTCTTTCTTCCATACTACAGTCGGAGCAGGGTCAGCTTTTAATTTACAACTGAGATTCAAGCTCTTTCCCGGAGTCAGCTGCAAGTCTTCAAATTGATTGCTAAATGTAGGCTTCCCTTCAGCTGTTTACAAGTAAATTAATAATAAAGCTACAGTATTTGCAATATACGGGATAAATCATTTGATTTTGTATAATAAAATCTTACCGGCTTTATCTATAGCTTTCTCCCGATTATCCGCAATTAAGCGTCTTAAGAAATTAGATGTACATACTGCCGTAAATGCTTTCTACAAATTATACATAATAATAATAAAAAAGCAAGGTTAAATGCCGTAATTAAAAGCAAGCATCCTTTCTATTAATTAAACAATAAATCTTACCTTCCATCGTCGTTTAACTACAAATGTTCTTAGTTTCTTAACCTGGACTTGTCCTGAACCTTTTCCCATCTCTGGTAGCTGGTATTAACGCGGTATATCATGTTAACAATCATCGTTGCATGCAATTAGCAAATAGACCCAACAAGGTCTATATCATAATACGATTACAGGCATACCTTCAGCCAAGCATGATCTAACGCTTCATTAACAGTTGCTCTTTGCCTAGAAACACAATTTATTGATTATTTAATAAATATGCTATTAATGGACACACCAGGGTAAAGTAAATTTTGCTCAATATATTTAATCCATCAGGCCATAATCATACTTTGGATCTCTTCTTAGCAAACTCGAAATAAAACTTTTAGCCTCCGCAGAAATATCATCAAAGATGTCATCATCAAAATCCCAATTACAGGCCGTAACGTTTGATAATGTGTCATGATCGTTGTCACCCATAAATGGCGAAAGACCACTTAACCTAATACAAAGCACCGGTAATAACTTAGAATAAGAATAGTTTCTAAAATAGTTCTATCGAAAAGTACTTACAACACATATGTTATGACACCAATACTCCTATATTGAAGAAAGAAAATATATTATTATTGTTAAATTGGATGTTAAAATAGTATCAAATATTGCTAGAGTATTCTAGGTTGTGGCAATTTTAAAATAACACATACCACATATCTGTTGCTGGTGAAATTTTTTCATAACTGACAACTTCGGGAGCTTAAATATAGCATTAAAAATAGCTCTTTTATTGATATTTAGTGTACTAAGAGTTACATGATTTTCTACCTAGTATGAAAATTAATTTACGATAGTTAAAACATAAATTAGCTCACTTACCAACAAATTCAGGTGTTCCAAAGAGTACTTTCAATGAATCTTGTGCCTGGAACTTGCGTGCCATTCCAAAATCAATCAACTTAATATCATCATAGTCTTTCTCAAAAAGCATTAAATTTTCCGGCTGAATAAGAGTTTAGGAATTAGAATTTAGGTCTAATATGCATATGAAACGGAATACAATACAAATTTCTACATCAATTAAATAAGGACATAGACAAGCTACTTTACCTTCAGATCTAAATGCAGAATGTTACTATCATGCATAAATTTCAATCCTTGTAAAACTTGCTGCATATAGTATATAACCTCTACTTCTAACAATGTTTCCCTTTTAATTAATCGGTCTAAAAGCTCTCCACCACGAAGAACTTCCATAATCATCACTACGTATTCATCCGTTTGATATGCGTCATGTAAAAATACTAGTTTGGGATGATGTAGCTGATTCATAATATCAATTTCTTGTAAAACTGTGGTCCTATCGCTAACTTTCGTTTTTATCATTTTAGCGGCATATTCTACCCCAGTGCTCTTCTCCGTACATGCTCTGACAATACCAAATTTACCTCTAATAATGCCAAATTAAATTACTCATTAATTACAATTTACAAAGATCTAACCGTATTCTTCAATTTAGGTTTACATCACTATGCTTCAAATATACCTTCCCAATTCATCTTTCATGACGTAGTATTTCTCTGGATCATCATTTTTCACAAAGACTTGAGTCCAGTCGCGTAATATATTAGCCATCTTATTATGTTGTGGCTTCCATTCTGTAAATCGGCTATAATCCAAAACATCTTCACCAGCTTCTTCCTCTTCTTCTTCATTGCCAAATTCTTCTTCACCTGATGATAAGAGGAAATGAATCATTTGAGTATGAAAGAAGTTCTTTATATAATAAATTTGACAACACTTACAGTTAACGATTAACTTTGCAGCACAAGAAATTTCGCCATGGGAAGAAATTACGACGCATCTGTAAGTCGCAGAATCATCGCTAACACAGTCAGCAATTACAAGGCTGCATTTGTTATTATCCTCAAAAATGTATTGGTATTTATTTTCATCTTCGATCGGTTGACCATCTTTTAGCCACATTACTTCATAGTCTTGATCAGAAGTCTGTATCCAACAATCAAATCTAGCTGCACTTCCTTCATAAACATCGGAGTCAAGAGGTTTACTCTTAAATGATGGCGCTTGAGCTAAGTTTAATTTCAAACGTAAATCAGAATTAGAGATTCAACAAGCGAAATAGATATAGTGTATGATATAATTGATTGTTTAGAAATTATTGATTACTAACCATCTACTTTATCTTGCTGAGTTTTAGGCTCGGGGTCTGTTTCTTTTATAGGACTCACTATAAGATCTGAGCTACCACCAAATCCATGATGAAATCGAATGACAGCAATGATACTATTGATAGCTTTCTGTATAATGAATAGGTCATTAATAATACATACCGTATTAGAGATAAGTATGATCACTATCAAATGCCTAATACTATAAGAATTTACCTTCCATCTTCGTCTAATCAAAAATCGCTTCAATCTTGAAGTTTTAATTTTCTTTTCAATTTTTTTCTTTATTTTTGCAATTCACAATTAAATAATGTATAGGAATATTATGTTAGTTTCATATTTATCAACTTACAAAAAATCATAGTATTACTAGTTTGTGTAAATGAATCATGAAAAATTACCTTTAACCAACTATGATTTAATGCTTGCTCGATAGTAAAGCGTGATCTGTTGATAAAATTAAATTGATGACTTATTTTAATTTCACTATCATTTTAATTCTATCAGTAATAGTATCTAATATAATTACTTTGGATCTTTCTGAATTAATCCTTCCATAAAATTTTTGGAATTTTCCGATAATTCGTCAAAAATTTCATCATCAAAATCCCATTCTGCATTTGTAACATTTTGTAGTGTTTCGCCATCATTTTCTCCCATAAAAGGCGACAATCCACTTAGTCTGTTAGAAAATTTGATAGAGAACAATCGAAGTAAACTAAATTACTTTTTCGCACTACAATTTGTTGGTGAGCTAAGCAATAGTTAATTACTTGTATAAGCTATTTAAAATCATAGAATATTCATTTCTTAGACTTACAAAATGTAGGTTATTACTCCAACACTCCTACAGAGAGAAAGAATTTTTAGTTATATCTTTTCTCGTAAATTACTGAATGCAAATATTTTTAAACAGTAGCAATAGTAAGCGATGTAAAATAATACTGTCGATGTTTTATGACTAACTTAATTATTTCATTGGGTATCACTTACCACATATCTGCGCTAAACGAAATCGGTTCAAAATTGATAACTTCCGGTGCTATAGTATATATATAATGAAATAAATATATTCAAGGAATACATTTGTATTACTGTAGTTGTTCATAGTATTACGTAATTTCGTAAAATTCTTTAATATATATCGTTTTTACCAACAAACTCTGGAGTACCACAAATGACTTTTATCTTATCTTTTGGATTGTATTTATGAGCAAGGCCAAAATCGATCAATTTAATATCCATGGAATCGTTACTTAAGCATAGGATGTTTTCAGGCTAACATAAAAACAATCTATATTATTTACTTTTATGATATAAATGTTCTGAAAGCTATAATAAAACAAAGGATAGAATACATGTGATTATAAAAACATATTAACCTTCAGGTCAAGATGGATGATATTATTTTGGTGCATATGTTGAACACCTTCTAATACTTGAGTTATATATTCGGCAGCTTCTTTTTCTGATAAGTACTCTTTTTCTACAATTCTATCAAATAGTTCTCCACCAGAAATGCTACAAAGTTATAAAAGGAGCCTCATTAATAAATAATACTAACGCCATGTATAGCTATGATTTATTTCCTTCGAACAAGTAGCGTATACTAGTATCTACTGTATTTACTAACAATTCAAGGACCATCACGTAATCAGTAGGTGTTTGATACACGGCATAAAGGCGGACTAATCTATCATGATCAAGACAGTTCATGACGTCGATCTCTCGATGGATATCTTCCTCTTTAGAATTTTTTAAATCAATATGTTTCGCAGCAAAGATATTTCCGGATTCATCCGCACAGCGGTATACTACACCAAAGCGTCCCCTGCAAAAGCATCATTATTAAACTTCACTATTACATATTTATATTGTATAGGTAGCCATAATCCGTAAAAGTTCTAAGTTTGATATTTAGTATAAGATATGCTGGCTCCTACACTAGTTCAGCAAGCACAAGAATAACAGTGCATGTAGCTTATTTATTATTATCATCATACTTTCCAAGTTCCTCCAATAACGTATAGTCGTCCTTGAGGTTTCCCTTTATTAATTCAGTTTTCCTAGGTTTTTTGGGAGGGCCTAGAATATCATGTCGTATTCGCGTAGAGCAATAAATCAGTTTCTTTTGTTTAAAGGTATATACGGTCCGCTAGAACGGTAGCATAAATAATAAACTACGACAAAATATGTTTAACTTTCGGTATTGTACTAAGTAAGTAATGCAGATTGAACGATCGTAGACCATATATTAAATTACAATAAATATGTATTAGAATTGTTACAGACGTTTGACTTTGTTATCCATGGTTTTTTGAGTTGTACTTTCTGTAAAAAAAGTTATCATAATTCTTAGTTTTAATAGATAATTATGCAATTGTAACAGTCACATGCTTGAATTTTATTTACAATGATGTTTTCCATATTTAATTTAGACCAATAAATGACGAAAATTGATCTATCCAGTAAATTTAGCAATAAATACCTTTAGCTTCGTTGTTAAGAATAGGAGCTAAGTGGTTTTGTGGAACAAATCCTGCTGAACCGGTTGATTTAGCTTTCACAAGCCAAGAATTTTCTGTCTTTTCCAAAACTTTAACAAGTTCGCCTTCCGATAAAGTCAGAGGATTGTCCTTGGATCCAGCGAATGATAATATAACTCTGTATAAGTTCTCACTATCATCTTGATTATTTTGCTTCTGAGTCGTGGCTGAAAGAGAGTATTATAAATATTTACATTATAACTATTATAGTAAATAGCTATATTTTAAATAATTTAATCACAGTAGGACAATAGGAATCAATTTAATTACACATATGATACCTTCTGCTTCAATAACGATAATGCACTCTTCGCTTGGCTCACTTGAGCCGACTTTACTGTATGCCTTTACTCGGAATTTATATACCATATCACATTCTAGCCTATTGACTACATAAGAACATTCCATCAATTCCCTGTCCACGGTCGACCATGAACTATCACCGACTTTCATGCTTTCAACAATGTATTTAGTTTCTTGATGACTATCGCTTTCCGATTGTTCCCAGGATAGTAGAATAGAATCAGTGGTTAATTTAGCTGATCGTAGATCAACTGGTCGACTTGGTGGTGCTGTAATAATATTTAAAAATTTACAAGTTATATTTTATCATGCCTTTAGTGCATTACTATTAATATAGAAAATTACCTTGATTACTTAATTCTTCTGCTGCTTCTATTTAATTATAAATAAAAAAATTACATCAAAAAATCGTAGTATTACTTTCCTTTAGTCATACATCATTGAGCACAATAAATTGTATTTATCATGCCATGTAGTGCATTACTATTAATATAGAAAATTACCTTGATTACTTAATTCTTCTGCTGGTTCTGTTTAATTATAAGTAAAATTTACATCAAAAAATTGTAATGTCATTTTCCTTTAGTCATACATCGTTGAGCACAGTAACATAGAAAATGTGGGTATACTTCGAATACGATTAAGTAAGAAAATCGTGCTAATTACCTTTAACATCTAATCTAGCTGAAGTTGTTACCGTTTTATCTTTTGTAATGATTGCACATTTGTAGATTCCATTGCTTTTAGAAGAACAATTTTTTATTACTAATTCACAGCAAGATGCATCATCATCATCAAACGCATATTCGTATTCCGGACTGTTTTCGAGATATTCGTCGTTTTTATACCATTGTACATCAAAATCAAGATCGGTTGACTCTACACTGACTGTAAGGCGGGCTGAATCACCATAATTCACGGAAATATCGGAAAGAGGCTTCAAGAACTTAACTTCTATTATTTCCTTTTTTGCTAAGATTTAAAATTCAGCGCGCGTTATAAATACTTTGCTTAACACGAAAACTTACGATAAATTTAAACAGTATAATACTTCTACTAGTTGTAAATATCTTGCCAGGTACCCTGGCAGTAGTGTTATGCTATTTTTACCTGCAACGAATAAACTAGCTCCACAGGACTGGGTTCCAGCTGTGTTTGTAGCAGAAACTGTATAGGTACCAGAATCGCCATTCTGACAGTTTTTAATTATCAACATATGTACTGGCCCATTACTAGATGTATTACCGTTGGAAATTTCCAAGTCGTCTTTATACCACTTGATACTTGGTTGAGGTTGACCGGTTACTTCACAACGGAAAGTAGCATCCCCTCCTTCTTCTACTTCTAACCCAGAAATAGACTGACTAAATTTAGGCGGAGTTGTGACTGGTTTTTGAGTATCATCATCACCTACGCATGTTAATCAATCAATGCAATTCCTAAGTTTCGATCTCATAATGCAACAATAATAAGGAAGAATGCTTATGTTGTAAAAGTTAACTTAGGATACAAATGTCACTTTCCTATAATTAAAATAGAACTAATTTCTGGGAATAGAAGTGATACCTTCAACAGTTATAGTAACTGAGAAATCTTTTTCACCAGCTTCATTTGAAGCGACAATAGTGTAACGACCAGAATCGGAACTTTTACTGTGGTTAATAGTTAAAGTAGATTGACCAGCCTCAAATGTAACATGGACAGAGGCATTAGGTTCGATAACAGTGTTGTCCTTTAGCCACTCAACAGTAGGATCTGGAGAAGCAGATATTTTAATCTTCAGTTCTATAGGCTCACCGGCCTTTACTTTCGTATTTTTTGGTTTACGGAGGAAGAAAGGGGCCTTAGCTTTGGGAGTAAATTTGCTTGCAGTCGTTGAGACCGTCGACTTTTTTATGGAACTCATCTGACATAGAAACGGATAAAATGAGATAAATCGTAAAGATTTAGGTAATTAAGTGCAGAACACAATTTTTTAAGACTAATATGTAAAAAGCTACTGCGTAGCATTTTACATTATACAATACATATTTTAAGTAATTTTAAAGTATAAAGGTTTTGTAGAACATTTCTGTATCTTGGTCATACTATACAGTACTATGTAAGGAATGCATAATAGATAAACTGAACAATGATATAACAGATTGATATTTATCTTCTATCTTCCGGATATATGACATTTTCTTAAAATGGTTTGTGATGTCAAAACATAGCCTACGTTGATTCAAATTGTTTGTGACGCTTGATATAATGTCAGTACAGTATAACCGAATTAGTTACATCATATGATTTTAATACCAAGACAGAGATCATTTATTTTCAATATTATGTTATCTATTAGTGTATACTTCATCAAGTTAGTGAAGTAAATTAAAAGCGATACTACAGTATCATACGAGTATATTTATTTAATTACAGATACAAGCTTGGGCTACACTATTCAAAATTTTCAATAAATTGAAGCTCCAGTCTGCTACAAGTATTTTACATTGTTATACTATCTGTAATCAATACAAATACATTGGTCAAAAAGGTTGTTATTTTAAGGGTTAATTTGATTTAGCTATCGTAGTACGATACAGTACTGTATATTAACATGAGCGGTAATCTATCTGTATTATTGAGTTAAACGTAAATAGATTTTAAGTTGTAGAGTACAGTGCATTCGAAAAATTGAATAACTTATTATAATTAAAAAGAGGCCCTAAAATCAGTATCTTGAACATCATGATATTTTACAGTCTAAATATCTACTTTTGACACTAGTAGTGCGCTACTGGTAGGTCGTGTACGGACGATATTCAAGGCTACGAGCACGATCTTGATACGTGTTTCAGAATTTTTATTTGGAATACGATATAATCAGCCTATACTCACCATTACCTATTCATGAAATGAAAACTACTAAGCTTACCATTTACAGTATTATTTAAAAATTTTTTTGTAGCTTAATACTTGTTCGACGTGAGTCGAATCAATGTTTAAAACATTGATTAGAGATGAACCTTCCTGAATGTTTATATAGAGGTCTCTCTCTCTCTCTATTGTGTGTCATATTGTCTTATTGATTATTGTACAGTATTGTATAATCTTAGGTTCAAGTTGCCTGATAGTATTTGGGCAATACGCTTTTGTAGAATATTAAAAGAAGGAGATCATACTTCTATAATCTAGAAAGAGTTCGTTGTCTACTAAACTTGAGCTTTCAGAACAAACGCATGACTAAGCATAAAAGATAGGACGCTGACTACAAACTACACAACAACGGTATCTCAGTCTGCTACATCATCAATGTACACTAGTACAGTACGATTTATAACGTGCTGTTACTACTGTACTGTAGTACGAAGACAGTCTAGCTACGAATAATACATATACAATAAAGAAAAGCAGCATGCAAACTGTTTTTATTTCATTCTTATAGGAAGATACGTGGCCAGTCTATCAAAGGCAATTATTATTATAAGAAATACAATATAAAGCCAAAGGCAAAAAAATACATTTCAACAAGGCTAGCAACGTCATCAAAAGTATAATATTAGTGTGTAAAAGAGGAAAAAAAGTACACTAAAGTGTCTTTCACATCAAATCACTAAAAGGTTCCCTATCAGTGTTCTTCAGTAATAGAGCACTCGGCGCCGTTAACGCAAAACGTGTTATAAGCTAACCGGTGTCGTTTTAAAGCTGGACGTTTTTGACATATTGATTGTACTGTACTGTACACTGTACACTGAGTGTACAGTAGTGTAACCATGGTCGAATACGACCATTGTAGTGGTTTCTGATTACAGTGCAGACGTAGTGTTACGTCAACACTAAGTAGACGTACAGTACTAGACCTCATGCCGAATCTTTTACCTCTCTCCCCTTTCCCCCTCCCCCCCCCCCCCTCCGATTAGGGAGGGAATGGACCGGACCTTAGCCACAGCGAACAGCCGGCCAGTTTTGACGGGTTAACTGGATGAGTTTACACTACGCTGTACAGTACATTGTACAGAAAAAAAATCGTTTTGCAGTACTGTACTGTAGCTAAAAAAGGTGTGTCCACAATGATCTCGGTGGTCTTCCGTGCAAGAGACTTCTTAAGGGAAAACCCTGACTGTGTAGAAGCTTTTTTAACAAAACACAAATTGTATACAGTACTACAGACGGTGAACATCGCAAATTGTGCTAAACTGTAAACGTAAATCCAGGAACTATAGCACTAAAATAATATATTACTTAACCCTGGTGAGCCAATAGTGGAATAATGAAGGAGTAACTGTATCATAGCTTATGACATATTTGCATACTGTAGGACAGTACATACGCGGAGTCACGCCTCAAATCCGATAAGCGGAAGTACAGTACATACAGGAAAGTAAAACGCTTTTCGTCAATCATGACTACAGTACTGTACGTATTGCTGTCTATACTGCATAGTATGCTGTATATTATACATATTGTACAGTACTGTACGGCCAGTACAGTAAACTATGATTAGAATTTCTAATCATCGGAAAGTTCAAGAGTTTAGTTTCATGAAGGCATTCTGCTCTTTCATATAGTACAGTAGCTAGCGCTACTAGGGATAAAGGCTAATTCTGTTGGTTAGTATCCGTTTTCAGGTACAAATAATTCCTCAGGCAACTAGGGTCTGTAAAAAGTGCATAGTTGTACACCTCGGCAAAGTACAAAAACATGAGAGCTGCAAGCGTCGCTAATGAGTAATTACTATTTGGAAAAGGAGTTTGAGTTACTAATGCTGTTACCGTAATACGCTACTTATATGATCTTCCCAAATGTCTACACCTCAGCTCTACTGTAACAGCAACAGTTAAAAAGGCAATGCATTCGTCACGTAATACTGCAGTGGCTAATCAATCTAAGGATTAAATCATCTTAGCGAACGTTTATCATTGGCATAAGCTGAATTCATTGCCTTCATCATTTTTAGAAATTGATGATGCATATCTGGTAGCTATTACCGAGTATCGAATCGTAACGTCTCCGTAATACAGATTCACGATCCACAATCACTAGACAAAGGCACGCACTACATTAGCTGAGGTTCAAGATAGAATAGTAATTTATCAAGGATAAATGTTTGCTCATTGCGTAGGTTTACATAGCACGAGGTGTTGTACGTTATGATTTTAGGATAGAAGTGATCCTACATTTCAGTTTTATCGAAAAACGCCAAAAAATGGAAAGTACTCTTTCCTATAAACCTACTCAACATTGGCAAAATCATTGACATTGCAGTAGAGTCACCAATGCTGTCGATGTTATACAATACATTCATCCAACTGTAAGCATTCAACAATAATCCATAGTACGGACACAATCAGTAATACAGTAGAATGGAACACAATACAATGTAACAAATCATTTGTTTTTTAGCAATCTGTTCGCTCAAGTGTAACGGCGAACAGCATCAATATTGTGTATTAAGTTTAAAAAAAAGGATATCCAAAATGACATAGTGTGTGATTTTACTGTAGAACTGCACGTTATGTTGTCTGTCAAAGCATCGCTAAAAACCGCACAGTGAAATGTGTAAATACAATTAACTTAATTAGGCAAACTATTATTACTGTACTGTCAATATCAAGGCGGAGTAGTAATTAGAAGGTCATCTAATTACGCTTGTGTTCGGAAATGGTCGCATCATACTGTACTGATGGATGCATGATCAATGAATAGATGACAGATACAAGTCAAAGCTACATCGGAAGCAACAACAACAATACAATGCTACTAGTATATTTCATGCACTACAGTTTATGAAAGTAAGGTTTATTAATTAAATTAAATGAAATTTAATTTATATATGCAAACATACAGAACGCTGTACATATGCAGTACTGTTTTAATAGTATACGCACACATTTAATACATACGCTATTATCTCAAGTCATATTACTGCTATTCTATACACTGTAGCATAAAATATTTTGTAGATGGATAGTTTTAAGTCCAAAGTCAGCCACATGTCGAAGAGTGTACCTTATCAAAACTCGAATCAAACGTGCTTGCACTCTTCACTCCATTTATAATTCATATTCTCTCAAGCACAGTTATCACGATCAGTTCATAAACTTCGTCATTATGATGAGCAGAGAATCGGGATACAAATTAATTATGTGATACTGTACAGACGACGGAGTGTGTGTACAGTACTATATTACTTGGACATTCAGATATGAGCAAGAAGTACTAAATAAGGCGCTTTAAAAGGATACATAATCATCTGTATAATCAAGTAACTGCAATATATTTACACTTTACACCAAGCAAAAGGATAAATTTTAGCTGTAAGCCAGAATCAGTTCTTAAGCAGGCTAAGCAAGCTTAATTTTGTTGAGACTTACCTTCACGCTGATGACTTCACCCGACACGAAAATAGCGCTGCAGCAAGTACCGCTGTATTATTTCTTCTCCTAGGGTTGATTACAGTACTGTACTGTACAATATTTGCAGTTCAGTAGTCAAAGTTTTGCATCGGCACCGTTTATTGGTGTTTGCCTGCGTGCTTGCGTAGTTGCGTGGTCGCAACGAGGCTTCGAGTTTACGTAATTACGATGTTTTAGGGTCTCTAGAGTACAGTATCTGCAGTATGGCATGTTATATGCACGTATTAACGTATAAGCCACACCCACTATTTATTTCGGATGTGCACTACAGTGTACAGTGTACAGTATAACACATACAGTACAGTGTACAGTACATGATGTTCTTTCAGAGAAAAACGCATTTTGAATCAATAGAAAGCGCCGCTTTCTCTTGATTAACGAAGAAAAGAAAAGAAAAATAAGTGATTCGGTAAAGGACTACAGACTGTGGTCTACAGTACAGTACAGTACAGTGATGCTGTAGTAATGTACTGTACGTACAGTACATTCCGTTTTCACAAAAATCCTAGGTATTAAGCCGTCTAGTCTGTACTGTTCGGTGTACAGTACAGTGCTGTATCGATTAGTGAATCACTCCTCCCAAAAGTAACAGTACACTGTACTGTACAGTTCTGTACTGTTTTCATGTTTTCACTGTACTGTACAGTACAGTACGTATGAAACAAATCTTTGTCCAAACTACTGTTCTAAATTATGGTACAAATTATAAGATAATATTTGAATTAATTTAAATAACGCTATAACACTCGATCCCTTGATTCTCATCAACTCATGCTATTGATTACGACTACCAGTTGAGATTTGAAGACTCAGGACAATATTAACATAGTAAATTAATTAATTATAGCTGGAATTTAATGGACAGTGACGGATAAATGACTGGATAGCAATCCAGTGGGATTACTACCGTATAGTATAGTACAGTGTGGCAGCACAGTGTTTACAGTCCAGTAAACAGTGTCTACTATAATATACTGTACTGTATATATACAGTATAGTACAGCACACTGGATCAGGTTCCGGTAAATTCTGCAACTAATGTTAAACTGTATGAGTTAGTATAGAAATAATCAGAAATACTACACTGCTGTCTAGTAAAAAAGCCAATTTTTTAACTTTTTCCTGGAAGAATTATACTGCAAATAATTAATACTTTACAATGTACATTAGCACCAAATTTTTTAATTTTTAGCTAAAATTTTAAATTCTGGAATTGGAAAGTGCCAAGGACTATTCTATTAGCCTAAAAGTCGCCGTTGTGCATGAGTACAGTATCGTGTTATCTGTGAATGTAATTACATTAATTGGCTATTATAATGTAATGTAGTTAACAAATTGTAATTTATACTGGGAAGAACAATACTAAATTTAATTTATAGTAGTTGTTACACCAGTAACCTGGTATAATAATAGGGAGAAAAATCTCATTTATCGTATTCCCAGAACATAACTGTAAATAACGCATATGGAACAGTATAAACAATAACACAAAAATAAACTTTGAAATTAACTTTATTGCTATGAGAGATTAAAGCAATTGAATCATAAGAATTTCTTTAAAAACAGCAGAGCTCAGCAGCGAACTCTCGTAACCATGCGTAGATGTGGACGTAGGCATACAACATTACAGTACTGTGACTGTCTCATCCTTGCAGTTTGAAACTTACAATAAAGAGATGTATCTGTATTTACGTGATTGGTATGTGCATTCCAAAGCGAAATTTCATGAAACTTTTTGCTACCATAACGTTGCCACTGATTATCATCACAATCATTTCAAAATATGACATAAGCATCAACTCTAGTATCAGATTTTATAGCGTAATCGTAAAAGTATGCAAATAAATATCCTGTATTGTAATTCGTAAAAATGTAGTTACGAGACTAAAAAGCAATTTTTTACACTGTTCATAAATCTAAACTAAATTCTCATTGTTGAATACCAATTGTAAGGTTAGTCGAGTAATCCTAAATATGACGATTCAATTAACCGAATAAGCTGGCATAAAGCTTCTGAGTTTGAGAATATTAGTCCTGAAAGAAAAATACAGACACAGTTGTTGAGATTAGCCAACAAATTCTATTAATGCATATCTAATAGATTTAGAATAATTCATCCGCAACTTTAAGTACTAGCAACGGTCTATGAAACTGTGATACACTACGTTGTAGTACATTACAGTAGGTGGAACATCGTATGAATAGACTACAATCGCGTCATTTTAATATTCCGAAATTTATCACCCTTACATTCTCATCATAGCGATCATAAATACATACTCTGCTTCGTAAAATAAGATAGCAATAGTGCTACACCCTGTATATACAGTATTATCCGAATCTGCTCGGTCCACTAACAACTATAGCAGGGTTACTAAGAGTCGTTGGTTTGGTAAATTATCACTTGGTTATTAAACACAAAATCAGATCGTTTAGCGGTGATAGCTTAAAGTGGCACGCAAGTGCTAAATAATTAAATACGATTATGGGAAAGACGTTACAGGGTTGTATGTTATATAAATTCTGATGTGTAATATACTATCAAAAGATACTACTGTAGAAAATTTCAATATAGATTCTAAGCTGTTAATCCATTCACTACAACAAGCAACATCTTGCTACGACTTATAAAAATTTACTGTTCTGATAAAGTCATGAAAATTCGTATTGACGTATGTTTCAAATTCTGTTCTTGATTCTGTCTCTATAAAGTTATTACTGCATTGCAAGCAATCACCTATAATTTACCTTTTAACTCATTTATGATCTAAAAATCGAAGCTAATGGTTTAAGAACAATAACTATATACTTAAGACCAATGATAAGGTAACTATATACATTAATGTGTTAATAGTAAGCAAATGTGAGAGCATATTAGTAAGGATAGCGCATTTAAGGTACCGTACGTTGTAGCGCTGAAAACTAGTAACAATTTGTAATGATTTAATAAAAATAGAAGAAATACAATCCCTTATAAAGCCAATACAAACGGGTATCTTTACGTAATTTGTATGGAACTTACATTTTTTCAAGGTAAATTACAAACGACCAGAACTTGTACTACCGGCTCTATAAGCCGCTCTAGAGTTTTCGTACTTCTGCCATATCGAAATTAAGAGTGTAAAGCCATACATACCAGCAGCAATGTAGCAATTTCTGAAAAAGCAAGAAATCTTGATTAGTAAACATAATTAGCTATGGCAACTATAATCTCTTGCTATCGCAATGGTATTTTATGCAACGCATTGATGAACATTTTAGATTTTTAATGGTTATTAAGTGCATAAATAAAAAAATTGGCCAAATCATTCATATGGTCATTACATTACTCGGTCGAACATAATACGAAGTTCGCATACACTTTAATTTGCAAAATATAAGGCATTGATGATACTATAATCTGCAGCTGGTGTGGCATGATGAACAGAGATCCAGCATTCATTGATCATGGTGCTATAATTTACCGCGTAGTATGAATACAAAGTCAACGCATCCGTTGATGTGCGTATTAAATTTAAACTCTACCGTATAGTACTGGTATCAGTCGCATCACATACATACTGCAGTCCAGGCAAATTGTGCAACCATATGTCGCAAATAAATTACCATCTTTCCGATCAGCGATACTACCAGTGCGAGGTATTTGCACTAAACAACTATTTCATAGTACTGATTTACTTATTTTAAATGCAAAGTCTTTCTTTCGACATTAGATTATATAATCTCGTAGTTGTTTCTCGTGATACTGTGTAAAGTACGGTACAATTTGAGTTATTGTACAGTAGTTATCGGAAGTAATATCTCGTAATGCAGCGAATATTATACATGATGCTAAATACTGGTACACCCACACGGAATTATTAGTACGTATAGTACTTTAATATTAGCGGTGAAGTGTGTGCTGCATATTCAATTTTTTAGAATGTCTGCTACATTTTATACAGGCTACTTTCGACTTCTTCGCGCTACGACTATGTAATCATATATAAATATCCGCTAAAATATCATAGATTGGTATGATGTACAGTATACCAAACCTTAAGAAAGACATTTTACTGCGTTATACCCCGTATACAGCCAGGAAGGATTAACTGTACCATATAAAGACAATCAAGTATTCTCTAGAGCATATGCACTGCGAATACAAGCGAAATTCGGGCCAAGCTATAATTATATTGCTGTATACAGATATTATTTTTCCATTTAAAGATGATCAATACCCCTTTACTATAGTTATAGAGATAAAGGCATAACAGAGGACTATTTTACAGCAGATGCTATCGCATGGATAGTCTGGCGTGCTTTAGTTAATAAATGATATCATTTATGGGAGATATTCAGGCCAATTTTAGAATACGTATACGTACTTGTGTTGAGGTGAAGGACGTTCTACGCTATTACAGTCATTTGAACAACTAATTCGACTAATCTTCGGATAACTCTGCGAACTGTTAAGAGATGATTCGACGTGTGGAAGGGTAGTGTTTAGTAACTAATTGAAACGCTTCAATTGATCCGGCGACAGAGTTGGTATCGCCTAAGTGTTCATTTCTTTTAAACTTTTTACTGAATAAATCGTCAACGTGTAGCAGGTATCAGTACTGTATCCCTATCCCATAGGTAATTGTTCGTTATGCTATGATCAAGCATCATGATATAAAAAAAGTAATAATTAGCTAATCGAAAATATTAAGACCGTCAATCGCACCATCATTAACGATCACTTTTAACGTGTTTGTCTCACATTTAGCTTCTTATTCTACTGTAGGATCGATGGTTAAATTTCGATGACAAGAAGTAATCCGTACGGTATTGCATTACAGTTACTCTACTGACATCAATTACGTAGTGACTATCATAAAAGCTATCATAGACCAACATTCTGTTTGGATGCCTTTTATATTGTTTAACTTACGTCGCAGTTTGATCCCATCCATCCTCATCGACATCTTCAGATACAGTGACGGCACGAGTTTGGAAAAAAATACCGAGAATAATCTAATAATGGGATATAAAAATGGTGAGGAAAGCATCTGGAAAAAAAGTTCAACCATGAAATTGGGCTGACATATGATAGGAACATTCAACATGAATATTGTACGCCTGTTGTAGAAATCGTACCAGCATTACAATCCCCCAAATGCTTAGAACAAAGCAGCAGTTGGAGCATTTAGGCCCACAGAATCGATATACCATGATTGGAATATTGTTTTGAAGCAGCGATGGATCGGAAATTCAAGAGTACTAGAATATGTCGTTGATTACGGCGTACTCGATCGTCCAAGCCGTTGAACGTCAACAGCAAGATCAAGATGGAATGAAATGATACTCATCGCCGCGACGATTGAGCATATTTTAGTACAGTATTGGTACGTACATTACGGTCGACAGTCCAGTACTGTACTGTACTGGCCACAGTATGTCACATGCCCAGTGATGTAATACTGCAGTATACTGTACGTTATGTATTGTCCACTGTCAGTACAGTACAGTACAGTATACTGTAGGGGGTACTGTGATTCTTCTTTGACTCTTGTACAGTGTACAGTGTACGCTGTACAGTATACCGTACTGTACTGTACGGTGTGAGCCAGTTCTCTTTAGAGTGCTATTAGGCAAAATAAATTGTAGTAAAGCTGCAAAATTTGCCTAAACTTCTATACCTACAGATAGATGAAGGAACTATTCAGCTTTATATTCGTATAATTCTTATTACATTTTGATTCACACTCGTGATTTTAGGATACCTTAAAGTACTCTGATTCGAACTGGTTCACACTGTACAGTACAGCAACCACTTTTCTTTTCTACCGACTGCAGTATTAGAGACCTTATCGCTACATCATGTGACAGTCACTAGTGCACGTTCGTGCGGTACGTCTTTCTACTGAAGTCATCCGCCATCACGGACGGACGACGATACGGCAACCAAAGCTCTCTGAATAGAGGGGTGTGTAGTGTAACGTGCGCTTGACCCTACTCTGCAACTTCAATTAGTAGAGCAGAAGTTGATGCTAGTGTAGTACTATGACTACTGTAGACTGGCTGGATGCGTTGCAGTACTGCATGGGGAAGTTTAAATCGATTTCAGTACAGTAGTACAGGACACCCAGCTGAAATCGGTATCGTTACACTGTTACAGTAATCTGTATGGTCGCTTGAAGGCCAATCTGAGGTGTCACATACGACACAACGCGTCTTTACTTTAGCCATTTTTGCTGAAAGGGAGAAGTCCTTATTTCTATGCGATTCTTCCTGAAAAGAACCTTTACTACCTTGGCAGCGTTATCCTCAGGCGGTATGGCTAATATAAAGAAATTACCGTTCTCACGTTTACCCAAAGCTGTTATTCCTGTTCATTATGCTTTGGAAATCAAACCAAATTTGAAGACATTCAAATTCAATGGACGAGTGGTTGTTGATACCAAGGTAAGACCAGTCCAGTAGAATGCCAAAAATGCACAGTGAAAGGTCGAATTCAAACGCCACTATCGCTTATGGCTTGATACATTAACCAATTGTAAGACAAACTAGTATGACTGTTAGCAGTCTAGAGATATGCAAATATCCTTGGATTTAGTGTGGGTACAAATTTTGGGGGTACTGTCAAAGATCAGCGTGTTCTTAACAAGAGTACTGCTCTTTTTTCTTAATCTTGGCCTTTTAGTTATGGCTTAGTAAAAGCTGACAGTACGTGTAGACGTCAGTGTGTTGTTTTAGAAATTCACGGCACTGAGATGATTTGACAATTTATACCAACCATAAATACGTATACGGACTGTACTAGGGATTAATCCAAAACAGACACTTGTTATTTGGACAAGTATACGTGTCATAGATCTGCTCATGCCTCAGATCGAAAGTTGTATCGTAGTAGTGAATTAAGTTGTTTTTGAAGAAGTTACTGTAATTACCTGGTGAGGAGAATACTTGCAGTGACTTTGTCAGTCCGGTTAATAGCAGTGCAAGATATACGAAAGTTGTACAGTACTGTAGTTGTGAATTACGTTGTTTTTGAAGAAGTTACTGTAATTACCCGGTAACGAGACTATTTGCCTGCAGTGACTTTTACGGTTAACAGCAGTGCAAGATATACGAAAGTTGTACTGTAGTTGTGAATTACATTGTTTTTCAATAAGTTACTGTAAGTACCCGGTAAGGAGGCTATTTGCAGTGACTCTTACGGTTGACAGCAGTGTAAGATATACTCCATGCGTATCAGTGATAGCAACAACTAAGCTTTAGCTAAAATACGATCAGTAGCTACCTATCACTGTTGCAATTATAATCATTATATCTTTGTAGCATGAGACTTCTTTAGTGATCATAGTGGAACAATTACCAGTATTTATACGGTACCCGTATTTTAGGACGAGGACAGAGTCCGTTTACATCCTTTATTACTCATCTATTTTTTAGACTATAATTACCAAAATGATACAATTTCATTACATTGGATTAAAATCCACTTGAATGACTTACTGATAAACCTAATTACAGGTAAACGAAGAAACTGATGAAATTCTTATCAATTCTGCTGATATCGAAATTCTACGTGCTTCGTTCAACAGTGTAGAAAGTGAGTCCAAGCGTAACTTGTGTAAATGTTAATAATTGCTACGAGTTTAAAAAGTACGATACTTGGAGGTTGATTGCTAGGAAGCAATATAATGTTTTGCGCGTATACATGTATATATATATATATATATGTACACTAGAAAATAATTACCAGCATTAATTATAATAATTAATATTTCTAATACATGTATTTATATATCTTGTAACCTACAGTTGCCAATGGAATAAGAGTGACTTCTATTTACTAACATGAGTTTCAATTACAATATTTTAAGGCTCTAATATTACCTATCATGAGACTGATGAGACGGTATCGATTAAGTACCCGCAGAAACTTGCCAAGGGTGATGGAAAATTAATGATTGATTACGTTGGTATTTTGAATGACAAGATGAAAGGCTTTTACCGAAGTAAATTTACGGCGGTTGATGGATCTGAACGATATGTAGCCGTTACTCAATTCGAGGTAATTATACATTGTATAAATTTGATCAGTATATTATAATTTGAAATTAATAAAATTGCTAAACTTAAACATGTACCCTATCTTTACAAGTCTACGGATGCAAGGCGAGCCCTGCCATGCTGGGATGAACCCGCAATTAAAGCGACTTTCGATGTGACGATGATTGTACCTAAGGACAAAGTGGCTCTTTCTAATATGGTAACTGCTTCGTTTACTGATTGTCGACCCATATTATGTAGTACATTGAAATTGAGAAAAGCTATGCTGTATTTTGCTTACACGTAAATAATTCGAATTCAATCCTTAAATATTTTATACGAAAACTATATTAGTAATACGATTCATTCTTAATTACAGAATGCAGAGATAGAAGAGCCTTTGCAGGAAGGTCGAACCACTCTAGAGTTAGATCGTGAAACGGAAAATATTTCTGATCTAAAAGTCATAAAATTCGCTAAGACGCCAATAATGTCGACATATCTCTTAGCTTTTGTTGTCGGTGACTTCGAATATGTTGAAGCTAGATCTGCCGATGGCGTATTAGTACGTGTTTACGCCCCAATTGGTAAAAAGGACCAAGGAAAATTTGCGTTAGATGTTGCTGTTAAAACTCTTCCTTTTTACAAAGATTATTTCAACATACCGTATCCACTACCCAAAATTGATCTTATTGCCATTGCCGATTTTGCCGCCGGAGCTATGGAAAATTGGGGTCTTGTTACTTATCGAGAAACAGCCCTACTGATTGATCCTGTAAACTCATCTTCTTCCAACAAACAATGGGTAGCAATTGTTGTCGGCCACGAACTGGCTCATCAGTGGTTTGGCAACCTTGTAACTATGGAGTGGTGGACTCATTTATGGTTAAACGAAGGCTTTGCTTCATGGATTGAGTACCTATGCGTTGACCATTGCTTCCCTGAATGGGATATTTGGACTCAATTTCTTGTGATGGATTCGGCTAGAGCATTAGAATTGGATTCGTTAAATAACAGCCACCCAATTGAGGTGCCGGTTGGTCACCCCTCAGAAGTTGATGAGATCTTTGATGCAATCTCCTATCAGAAAGGATCATCGATTATTGCTATGCTGCATGATTTTCTAGGAGATGATGGCTTCCGTTCTGGTTTGAATCATTACTTAGAAAAATTTAAGTATTCTAACGCACAGACGGAAGACTTATGGGAATCACTCGAAGGTGCAACTCAAAAGCCCGTAAATAAAGTTATGAGTTCGTGGACCCGTCAAATGGGCTATCCTGTAGTATCAGTTTCCGCGAAGCATTCTGGTCAATCCGTAGAGCTTGAAATATCTCAATCTAAATTTTGTGCTGACGGCCAGCTTGACTCTAGCCACGAAAATTACGAGTGGTTGATACCTATGGTGATTGCGAATGGTTCTAATAATAAACAACCTGTTAAGATCATTCTTGATGAAAAGTCAAAATCTGTCACATTACAAGATGTTAAACAGGACGATTGGGTAAAAATCAATTTTGGACAATTTGGATTTTATCGTGTCCGCTATACTTCCGACATGTTACTCAAACTTGTTCCAGCGGTAGCTAATAAGGTGTTAAGTCCACGAGATCGTCTAGGCCTGCAGAATGATACTTTTGCTCTAACTAAAGCTGGACTCTTAAATACTACTGATTATCTTGATTTACTGCAAGCTTTTTCTAAAGAAGATAATTATACCGTTTGGAGTGATATCATCGGAAACTTTGGTTCAATTATAAGTTTGATGGAGTACGCAAATCTCACGGATGGCTTTAAAGCTGTAGGTATTGAATTACTGACAGACATAGTCAAGACATTAGGATGGGAAATGAAGGCTAATGAAAAGCACACAGATGGCTTACTGCGCAGCCTAGCAGTATTACACTTAGGTAGATTTGGTCATACTGAGACCATGGCAGAAGCAAAATCAAAATTCGCAGCACATTTGGACGGTACTAAAGCTATAGACCCAGATTTGCGAAGTGCTATCTACAAAGTCGTACTTTCTGAAGGAGACGAAACAACCTTCAATGCTTTACTTAAGCTTATTGATACAACGGATTTGCAAGAAGAAAAGATGCGTGTTATGGTTTCGCTAGGGGCAGCAAATGGAGAACATTTGCTAACTCGAGCTTTAGAATTTGCTATGTCTGACAAAGTAAGATCTCAGGACAAGGTTTTCATCATCGAAAGTATTGCCAGAAGTGGTAAAATTGGTAGACAGCTCACATGGAATTTTATGAAGCAAAATTGGGATAAATTGAACAGCATTTACCAAGGAGGCTTTTTGCTGTCAAGGCTAATCAAAGGCTGTTTAAGCGGTTTTGCCGGGGAAGAATTTTCAGCGGATATAAGGGAATTTTTCAGCACGAAGAGTGTTCCTGCAGCGGAACGTACGATTGAACAAGTGATTGAAAGTATTGAATTAAATACAAAGTGGCTATCGCGCGATGTTTCATCTGTCACTTCGTGGATGCAAAATAAGAACTACATTCCTTCGAAATAAGACTATCTTGTAACAGGAAATGTTATTCAGATGAGCATTGATAGATTTAATTTCGCCTTAGTAGGCCTTTTTACTAGTTTTGACCTGAAAACATTCAGTACCCTATTGTGTTTATCTATTCACGTAATAATAGACTCCTTCTATTGTGCCAACTATATTAAATATATGAAATTTATATAACGCATTGGTGTCTTAATTCATGGAAGCTCGCTCGTAATGGTGGATGTGAAAATTTGAGGAAAAGGAAATTGCTTAATAAATTATCCTTTTGATACTTAATGTTATATGCAAGTACTCATTCTAGTATGACGATTATATACGTAAGCTAAGAAATAATTTAAATTTGAAACTTTCGCCCCTGTGAAGTTCACAATGAATGAAATCAATTTTGAACCGTGGTACCTGAAGATACCAATTCACAATAACAGAGCAAATTATAGCTTTCCATATTCCCGGCGGGGGTTCTACTATATCGCTAGAAAAGTTTATTGGCCTTTTATTCTTACTAGTTCTTCAACTACAGTAGATCTGAAATTGTCTTTTATTGCTGTAGCACTTAATTCTTAAGTTAATGAAATTCCTTGCGATATAATATATATGAAATTAATAGTTACAGAATATTAAACAATGTAGCAATCTCTGTTAGCAAGATGTAATCTAGAAACAGTTAATTAACTACATTGACAATCTTCTATCGATTCTTACAATTTATATTTGATCCCTGCATACAGTACAATACCGTAAATTTCGTGAAAACGAGTGGACTCAGTTACGGATATACAAGATATAGCGCTATGACAAGCTTACATAGCGATATATTTGCTTAGCAATGTATATCTTGTTTTGCATATTCAGTAAGTGTAGCTATCCACATACGTATTAGCATTCCTGTGGTAACAAGTTTCGCCACGTTATGAGCAAAACGAGAAACTATCCTTACGATAGTGGCGATGTCACTGATCGTTGCTTGTTGAATTTTTAAGACGTATCAAACAAATTATACAATATTTACTATATAAATTTATATTTCAGTTCATTTATTCTACAGTAACAGAGCAATGCACCCTATTTAGGTAGAAATACAGTAGTAATAGCTAAAAATATAAATATATCTCAGTTAATTTTACTTTCATCACTATCTTAAAAATTTAGAGCAATTCCAAGGTTGCATTTGCATTTCTAATGTCCATCAGTGAGTAATTCCTTAGCTAGATTCAAATCTAACCAGAATAATAGTAAAAATTTATAGATAGAGCTATTCGGCGGGTAATATTTCTGATGATTGAAATAAAGTGCTGGGCTTCAATCATTCTGTGATCGTTTCTTGCGGCCTAATTCCTTGTGTTTCATTCTTCTCTCGTTCAAATACTCCATGCGCTTTCTGTCCAGGTGTCTTTTAGTTAGAATAAACGCTGTTACCCCACTGGTCATAGCAAAAGCCCTAGAAAAGATTTTAATTTTTTTTAAAATGAAATACGTATATTTATATAGAATGTGTCTATCTACAACACCTGTTCAAAAAATGCAACTAAATATCAAGAATCTGTTACGTGGAAGTTCTTACGCTCTTACATGCAATTATAAATATTAATAATCTGTTAAGTAGAAGTTCTTACGCTCTTACATGTAATTTTAGTTGTATTTTATTACACAATTACATTATATACTACAGAAATACAGTATAATGTAGGTGCAGTTATTTGGGACTGTGCGTTCGATAATTAATTAATATGGGTTTTAAAAGTTATGCAAACACATATCATGAAACTATGAATATTATTTTTATACTGTAATCACAATATCTCAGTTTTCGTACGTAAATGGTATCCCTAAATGAATGAGTCTTGCTAAGTGTGATTGTAGACTTCAAACTATTATAGAATCGACATTTACCGACATGATTATAAATGGTAGTACTTACCATCCAATCATTACTGTTTTCATGCTAACCTTTAGTCCATCCAGGCGTCGATATAAATACGATATCATATTTGCAAAGTGATACTATGTTGCGTACCTTACAACAGCAGTTATATATTCACTATCGTTTGTAATTAGATGGTATATAATGACAGTGGGCAGTTATTACTATGTAACAATTTTGTGCATTAATAGTACGATAGTAACGATATACGATGATACAATCACTCAATAATGTACTGTGCGGAGATTATAATTACTATATTATACACTCAGGGCTTTTAGTATCTTGTCGCTTTTCCGCAGCCAACGTTGGTGAAAACACTAAAAAATAAACGATGTAGGTATTTGCTGTTAGAAATTCGATATATAGATTAAAATAAAACAGAAAGTAACTCAATACTTTCCAGCCCTTTATGTATACAATATGCAACAAGTGGATAATACAGAACGTAGGATAAAAATACTCTCTATTCAGCCAAGAGAGGTATCTTCACGTTGTACGGTTAATTTTTGCAGGTAGTCAATAACACTTTGTTCACTCTTGAAGTCATACTAAGTGATGACTTATTCAGTTCGTACTATAAGTAGCTATCAGTAAAAACTTACGCGTATATGTTATAAACTACTTTCGTAATATATGAGAGGAATCTTACCAGTTGAAGGTGCTAATAGTCTTTTAAATAATTACTATTTCGTCGATGCATCGAAGACGAATGAATATTATTAAAGAGCTTCAAGATTCGAGCTCGATTTACAGTATGCAACAATCAGACTGGACAATGAATATACTGTACAGTACTCTAGACCTAAGCTACCGTATGGTACAGTACAGTACAGTACTGTATCCCAGAACGTTACCGTGCAATACGGTAACTGTACAGTACAGTATAAAGGGTCTCATGTGTGAAACAGCTACAGTACAGTACTGTACTGTGCGGTATCGTACACGGTACGCGTACTGTACAGTACTGTACTGTACATATAGTGCCGAGCCGAGCTCAATCTTGAGGTGAATAATCCTGCAAAATTGATTTCTAATTGGATTCTTGCTTGAAAATTACCGTCATTAACGTAGTTAATAGCAATTAAGCGGTGGCTATACTATTCTTCTACAGGATCTACTCGCTACGGATGTCGTAGGACGATAAAATTCTACACTTTATATTGTACCTACGATATAGCTTCAGTCAGGTCAGATTATTATTATTTTGGATCGTTCAACTTTGCTGCACTAAATTAGCTCACATATTAAAAAAGTAAGTTCAATCGATGGACGGGTATAACCAACACGATTCTAACGGTAATGAAGATATGACTGAAAATGGATACGAAGTTGTTGACGTAAATGATGGCGATGCTGCTGCTGAAAGTGAGGATGACATGAATGATGGTAAGTATTACAAAATACGTTACATGATCTGCAGAGAATGTTCTCATCTTAATGGCACCTCTGATAAATGGCTTAAACGATTAAGCTGTTTATGCTCAATATAGTATCAGAGTTATTGGCACTGGCTGGACCTACCATTCAGTTATGTTATAGTGCCTGTGATAATAAGAAATAATCGTTAAGTTTTACTATTCGTAGACGCTATGACAAGGTGCTAGGATATTAACTCTGATAATATAACTAGTGATTTTTACAATGATTGTGTAATGTAGAGGAATTTGCAGAAGGAGCAATGGGACCAAGCGATGACGAAGAAATACAAGCTTATTCTCGATCATATAGGCAACATCAAGGTAAGTTATGGCTAAACAGGCGTTAAATTAACCAAATTGAATGATATAAATACGTAATTAATAATATAAGTACAAATTGTAATATTGTTTATTGCATATCAATGCAAGTTATAACCGTAAATTCATTACTATTACAATCTTGTATCCACAATTACAGTCATAGATTGTCATAAAATCGTCAAGTAGGCAATCCTTTATACTTAATGCAAGTCTAATCTTTCTCGGATCATATGACAGACGTACAATTAATAATTTTAATTTAGGGTCAGTGTTTTCCGTTGCAATCGACCCTGCCAATGGCAATTTAGCATTGACAGGAGGCGAAGATGACGTTGCTTATCTCTGGTCATTAGAAAACGGGAATATTTTGCTTGAATGCAAAGGTATAATTTGATAAGTCAATGGAATAAATTTATTCATTATTTAATAAATGTAGCAACATCATGTCGGCGCCCACCTGGATGTTTAGAGTTCATGATTTTCTCATATTAATGATATGTCTATGTTTATGTGCAAAAATTTATTTAGGGCATAAAGACTCAGTAACTTGTGTCAGTTTTAGTTCAAATAGCAAATATTTTGCAACGGGCGACATGAGTGGGATTGTTAAAGTATGGGAAGTTGAAAAAAAACAAGAAATATTTTCTGCGGAATGTAGCGATATCGAGGTAACGCAAAAATGTCCATGTATAATATATGCATGGGTGTGGTCTTACTAGATTTGATGATATAACATATATATTTCATATGTATTTTATGGTTGATAAACGACGCGCAAGAATTAATACTATTTTTGAGTGATAACTTACGAGTGCTAAATTGATTTTACTATTTTGATAAAGAAGCTTTGTTAAACAGGTTTAAGGTTACTATGATATAGGGTTATTGAGCATGTCACTTTAGTTGTTGAAGGTATATATACATTTAGTTATCAATGAAAGATCTATGTATTGTATTTATAGTGGATGGAATGGCATAGCAATTATCCAGTACTTCTGGCTGGCGCTATAGATGGAAATGTATGGATGTGGCAAATCCCTACAGGTCTTTGCAAGATGTGTCAAAGCCATGGCTCAAAGTCGACTTGTGGAAAAGTATTCAACGACGGTACATGAGAAATAATAGGAATAATATCATATACGATGCCCTTACTATAAATCAGTTTTGTTAAATTTTTGTTTGCTACTTAATTTAAATGGTACTCAGTATTTTAATATTGTTTCCAGTTAAACAATTGACCTAAACTCCGTTCTTTTCTAATTTTAGATTCTGAAAATTTGTAAACAATTATTGAAATAACCCATTCAAACTATATTCTATTTTGTACATATGTGCAGGTAACCGAGCTTGTTTTGGCTATGAAGATGGATCTATAAAAATAGTGGACCTCAGAACTCTATCAACATTGTACCATATATCTGGTATTTTATGCGATAACTAGAATGGAATTTAATTTAAATGATTTTCAATTTAATGGTATCACTGCTATTGTGATTGTTAGGAAATACAGGCCATTCGGATGCAGTGACTTCAATAGATATTTATTCAGATGGAATTCTCATAGCTACGTCTTCTCTAGATGGAAGTATTAAAGTTATCAATTCAGCAAATGGAAGGGTAAGTTTAAACATGCACCTTGCGATGTAAATTAATATCCGGGATATATAGAGCATAACGACCTCTTTTCCTGAACTGATATCATTTTCTTCATTAGGTTGTTTTAACCCATGCAGCCTCGTGGCCAGACAATAGCAATAATGATAACAACACAAACACAGAGGCAGAAAAATCAGTTGAAGCAATCTCATTTTCGAAACTGTATGTTTATAGATAATTCTAAATTATAAACTGGGGATTAACTTTTACAATAAATTTTTATTTTAAAGACAAACATTGCTCGCATCTGCTTCATTAAATGGAGATTTAGCCATCTGGGATCTTCCTACACAAAGACTGCGACATCGTTGCAAACACGAGGTGTGTGAAGGTGTACTACTGTACTTACGGTTGTATCATAGTTGCATATTTATTATGTACTGTAAATCTGTCCACGTAATGTGCATATAGTACTGTATATAACATATACACGTATGTATGTTTTATTCACTGTTTTAGCCGAAATGCGTACAATTTTAATCCTATGTAGTCAGACAAAGAGTGTCATATCGTTCACGGTTTTAATCACATAGTTCCTATCAATATGAAATATCTTTTCGATAACAGGGAGGAGTTTCCAAATTATTATGGAATCCTGCTAAACCACTTCTGTACACTGGAGGCTTAAATGGCAACATACTAGTTTGGGACGGACTTAACGGTGAATGTCTTAAAGTTTGGCACGGACATTATGATGAGATATTGGATTTAGCTATTAGTGGGTATGTTACCCTTTCTAAGGTCTTTATTATTTAGCCAAGAATTAATTGCATCTTCTTTATTTGCAGAGACGGTGAGCGACTTTTATCCTGTTCTTCTGACAGTACAATGCGCTTATATAATTTACAACAATAAAGTTTTTACTCACCAAAAAGACCGAAATACATTAATCACAAAAGATTGATTTTATTACATTATAAAATCAAAATTCATACAATAAATTCTTGCTGGCTCTCAGCAATAATCTTATGAGAATTTTTAAGGCTGGACACTAAATAAATCATTCAGGTTCCAATGTTTTCGATTTCGTCATTAATATATCCTTTTTGTGCACAGTAGCTTAGGTAAATGAACATAACTAAAGCTATATAAATATTACAGATTTTGAATAGAATTCTGTACCGTAAAATCTCTTATAATAGTAGGATAAATTAAAACTGTAATCGTAAATTACTATCAAGTTATATGCGCTATCGCATTCGAATATATTACATGTTGACTGCTAGCACCAGTGATACAATAATTAATAATGAATGATTACTGCACGTACTAGTTTCTTACGATAATTAGGTGCGCAATCATGCGCGTAAATACCAATGAAAAATAATCTTAACTTTAAATATACGATTATTTTGTAGTTAATGAATGAATAAGCCAACATATTATATAGCTCAATTTAACAGTCATGACATGACATGAAGAAGCGGGATCGAATAACTCTTCATTCCAACGTTCATCATTTCTCCATTCAAAGATTGCTTCGCGATATACCACACATTGTGATTCCATCGCGCTTCTTTACGGCAATTATTATTCATTAACTGATTATTTGTAATCTGTGCACTGTTATAGAAAGCAGTACCAAAATTGCGTAAACTTTCTGCGTGAATTTTACCCGATTCTACGTCATAATGCTTAAGATGATTGTATGCAGCCCCAGTGCCGTGTCGAAAGTATATTCCATTTACGTCGCTTTGCGATAAAAGGTTATTTCCACCACATACGTACGGTAAATGATTGTTTTGATAAGTGTATATTAGAAATAGACTTCCTACCACGATAATGAAACAGGCTAGGTATGAAGTTATGGATACAGCTACGATCTGTAATAGAATTTCAATACGTTAGATTAATATAGTTGTCAAGGTCGTATCCACAAACGAAAAGATCATGTACGCTAGCAACCTAAAGAGAAAAATGAGATGTAGGAAGAATATCTTACTTTTATAATTTGACCAATAGTCGACAACGTATGTTTCGAAGATAAATCAAGTAGGGTTTTCATTTCAGCATAGGTTAGCCAATTTCTATCTTCAAATTCCTTTACTATCATTCTATAATTAACATAGATCAATCAACCGTACAATGGTACTATATTAAAATAATTTTACCGAGAAACTTTTTTATAAAAAACAATTTTATTAAGAAATATAAAGGTAAGTGTAAATAACATTACCTAGCCTCTAGTCTGGCAGTATACTTATGGAATGTAGCAGGCGATATGAACAAATTCCATTTCTATTAGCCAGAAAATAATTTACTGTAAGCTTAATCTCCTTAGCTAAGCAATTATAATCAATCATTTAGAATTACGATAAGGGGTATAATTTACGTACAATTCTGTTTAAGAAGATCCTTTCTAATTGAACAACACGATCGATTTCAAAGTTTGCTATAATTTCAAGTAAAAATACAATGAGGTTACAATATTTTAGAAAGAAATAAATCAATAGAAGTAACATTGAGGAGTGGTACCGGCTTTTGCCCATTCATCGTTCCAAATTTCATTTTCCTCGCCCTCATCAATAAGATATTTTGTGGCGATTAACTATTATCAATCATAAACGTAACGAATTATTAAAATGTATATCTGATTAACTGAGTCATTCTTGAAGGTAAAACACTATATAGCAAAGATTTTTCGACAATGTACGATCATTTAAAATAACATCTTCAACAAGGTAGTTCAAGTGGCTATTTTTCGTATTAGCACAGAGATAGAAATTATATTTTCTTCTCACCATTGAAATGACAAATAATTCGGAGGGTAAAAGATGTTTTGAACATTCCCTGTCAGTTTGCATTAGGCGTTCGATATAAAGTATAGCTAAGACCAAGGCACAGGGGGTGATATTTAATTGGCTAAAATTTAAAATGTGGCAATAGGGAAAATTATTATTACGCTCTCCTTTAATACACATTTAATAGTTCGAAAAAGCACTAAAAGTGCTTTTAAGTAAATAGTCATAAGTACATACAGTAGGTCTATTAGTAAAGCTTGAACTAAGCAATTTCTGTAATATGGAGATATTATCACTGTTGGTTAAAATTTTAAATTAGCGCACCTGTCTAATTTGCTAATAAACTCTTCATTAAATTGATCATCATAAGATCCACTTGCTTTCTTATAAATTTGAGCTGCCAGGGCTAAGTATAGAGTAAGAGTTGTCAAAATGATCAGATAAATAATATCACATAACATTGTACTATTAGAATTGCTGTTTACAATCTATAGAGAATGAAGTATGTAAATCTATCTTATGATAACGTTACATCACAATTAAGTTATAATTTCTACTAAGTTTGCATATCATTATTATACATACTGCTTAAGTAGGATGTAATATAAGCGCTAACATGATGATCCTACATTCTATACGTTTCGTACAAAAAAATGTCTCTGTCTACTGATCAGTGATGACCAATGTCGTGTAAGATTTTAAATTTTACGTCATTCGCGAAGACTGGTAACTATGTGGCGTATCCATTTAGCTTCATTATTCAATTTAATTGATCTTAACTACAGAGAATCCAATACTTACAAGTAATAGGAAGCCATTTAAATAGTTCTTTATGATGCTCTTTAGAAAATAGAATTTTCCTAAAGTTGTTGCTATTCATTTCCATATACTGCTTATAATTCTTGGCTAATTTCTGTTGATGCAATTAAAATTTAGAATCAACTTTACTATCAATACATAGGATTCGAAGCTTGATAAATATGTTGACTCTACAATTACAGTACATATAAATTTCATCTTAGCATTTAGTTGACATTTAGTGCTTGCTCTAGATCGTTATACACTGAAGTTTTAGTAGTATACGTATACCAGAATACTACCAGCCAGTCTGCTAGTGCATGAGGCTGTTAGCCAGTAGTGGCCAGAGGTTACTAATATTAATTTCGAGAATTGATCAATCAGTGATATATGACCGTGTCAACTTATTACTGAAAAAATTACAGTACAGTACTGTACATAGCCATCCGATATAATCAGTAATAATGCCATTCATCTATACACATGCATTATAATTATTCATGGAACTGACTTATAATGTAAAATACCGTGAACTAAAGTTATGAACATTAGAAAGAAACGATCGATATCCATTCTTACATTATCCCCCTTCCTAGTATCGTCATTCTCGCTGCAAGAGTTCTCCATTTTATCCTATTAAAATTTGCAATTATAACCATGATTGATATGTGAAAAATTTCATGGTAATAAACACTTTTATTATTCAATAGGAATTAATTAGCAAAAGAAGGTAATAACGATTCCTTTCCTAAAGGGAATTAGTGGCATATTATGCATCATCGTAATCACTTGGTGCCACCAAGCGATCACGTCTTTCAACAATATAAAGTGCTATCCTGACTTTTATCATTCCATACAAGGGAATGATCGATTGCTGTTTCTGTGTCATGTCTATCGCTATCTAGGTACTGTACTGTACGATATAATCTGTTCTTCAAGACTATAATAGTAATAATACCCAGCCTATATTATACTCTCTACGAGTGTCCAACGTGTACTGTATATGCAATTTATTCTGCAGTATGGCATTGTATCCTTCTACTGTACGTATTATAATACAGTATCGATCTTTCAATGGTGTTACTCTTTGCCATTTCTTAAAATCTCTCTTATGCTTTACCTAATTTCTTTTTTCATATCATATCAATCTATTCTTCAAGACTATCATACCAGCCTACATTATACTTTCTACAAGTGTACAACGTGTACTTTATGTGCAATTTATTCTGCAGTATGGCATTGTATCCTTCTACTGTACGTAGCATAATACAGTATCGATCTTTCAATGGTGTTACTCTTTGCCATTTCTTAAAATCTCTCTTATGCTTTACCTAATTTCTTTTTTCATATCATATCAATCTATTCTTCAAGACTATCATACCAGCCTACATTAACTCTCTACAAGTGTACAACGTGTACTTTATGTGCAATTTATTCTGCAGTATGGCATTGTATCCTTCTACTGTACGTAGCATAATACAGTATCGATCTTTCAATGGTGTTACTCTTTGCCATTTCTTAAAATCTCTCCTATGCTTTACTTGCACGCTTTACCTAATTTCATTTTTTCATATCATATCACGCTTCTCTCTCGCTACAGTACATACAGTAGACGCTTGAAACATTTTCGCGGATTTTCTCACGTTGAATGACTAAGGTAAAGCTTTTGAATTTTCTTCTACAGGACACTATCTTGTCTAATTCTTGACTGAGACGATGAACTCATCATCTTTACAATATCACCATTACTTGGATAGGACTACGCTCTCAATTACGCTTTCTTACCTGATGGTGGACGGCTTTGGGGGTCGATTTATTTGAAAGTGCTTTCGCCAAGGTTACGTCAGGATAAGTGATAGTACAGCAGGGAGAAATTTGATTTTACTCAGTGGCGCTAACTTGCTATTACAGACGAGTGCCGTAACAGCAAACTGTACTGCATACTAGACCTGAGAAAGGTTCGGTTCAAACCGTGTACAGTGCACACTGTACAGTAAGTACAGTACTATGAACTGTACTATGAACTTGTAGCAGAATTTTCTCTTGCAAGTACAGTAAGTCCCTGACAGCACTCAGTACACAATACAAAATGACCTTGGCAACGATGAAAACAGTTGAAAACACTGAGAACTAAGAACCTGTCCAGTACAGTACAGTGTACTGGAGTTGCACAGGACCGTACTGTACACTGTACACTGTACAGCTTGAGTCCTTTCTTTTCACATACAGTACTGTACTGTACAGTACTGCAAGTCAGTGAATCAAAATATCGCAGTTTTTAGACCTGATTCTTGGAGTTTTTAGACGTGTCGATAGATGAAGATTTCAAGAATATGTATGTGCAGTATTCTGTAGTCCATGAGGCCCCGCTAGTTTCCCCATACGTTGATGAAACTCTACTTCTGCCACACCGCAGAACCAGTCTATCTGTCACAGCATACAGTAATTGACAATTTTCAACACTATTAATTGAACGTACTGTACAGTACAGTATGGGGAACTAGCGGGGCCTGATGACCATGGACCAATGAACATGTACAGTACATTGTACAGTACGTACAGTGTACAGTATACAGTCGTAATGATCACTCTTGGACGGACAGATATTTTTTCGCCCAATCTCGTCCAAATAGTGTGCCAAACTCTTCGCTATGACAGTACTTTAGTATGCAGACCCTCAATCTTGAATCGACCCATTTTTCTCAATGATGTCATACAGTATTATCTTGAGTCTGTTGCTAACTTCTGCTTGAAAAAAGTCATACAAGATCGCAGACGTTATTTAAATTAGTACCGGTGATTTCGAAAAATAGCCACGGAAGATCCATACTACTATAATGGAGAGATTGGATCAGTCCCTGTACTGTCTGTCCCACGCATGGCTGCGACTTTACAGTGTACAGTACAGTGTCACCAGCCATGTACTGTACACTGTACACTGTACATAGTGGTGTCCACTTCGGTCTACTCATCGTCGAGAAAATAGTTTGGATGGCCAATTACAATTATTATTATTATTATTGCAGTCCAAATCAGCCAAGAAGAAAACTTTCAACTTCCTCTTTATTTGTCTTACTGTATAGAGTTGGAAATTGTACGCCATCTTGACTGATGGATGCATAGGCTATCGTGGTATCAAGGCAATTTCTACCTTTACTGTAAGATATATTAATCAACTCTTTCAACATGGAAAAGTACATCTCAATACGCGACATTAAACATGGCATGAAAAATATCGTCTTGATTTGTATTGTATTGGATGTAGGTAAGTTTTCAAAAGTCAAGTCTATTTCAATCAACAGTCCTATTGCTTTTCTATTAGGATTGGATCTATCTTCATTTGCATCCGATATCATGATAAAATTCACCATTCTAGACGATCTTACAGCATGACAATAGGAGTGCATTACGTTAGAATGAGTATCGCCGCCAAGCTTGTAAAAGACGTACAGGTCTACAACATGAGCAGAGAAACTATTGTTCAGTATTGTTTCAATTTTCCATCCATCTGTCTACACTGCTCTTCATGATACCTTCAAAACATCACTCCATGGCCATTAGGGACGGCCAAAGATCTTGTATTAACGCAAAAAATTCACCGATACCTTTCTAATTGTTGGCTACTTCAAGATACTAAAAGTCCAATATTATCATAGCAAACTTCAACTATCTAAATATCAAAGCCTACCGATTACTTGCCTGAAATAGATAGCAAGAGTGTCGAGTAGAAAGAGTCTATCACAACTAGCCAGTTCGTTACCTTCCTAAGACAACACTGCCATTCTAAAACCATTCAAACTGTGCCAATTATTCTTCTAAAGCCAATCACCTTGTTGACCTTCAACTACAATTGCCTATAGTGCAGAATCGTAAGAAATCAATCATCACCGTTCTTAAACAATCTCCAATCAATTCATTATAATATAGACTGAACCTCTACTCTGCAGTACCATTCAATTTTTTTACTCTTAATCAATCATGAATAAGTAGCAATTCTGCAATGGAAGAAGAGAAGCAACACACCACTTATACATGTACTACGCGATAGAAAAGCAACGGATAAAAAATAACAATTACCCTTTGCAAATACAGTATACGTATATATTTTAAATACTAGGATTGACAACAGTGGTACAGTACTTGTTAAATCATAAACAGTGGGTTAACTGATGTATTATTATATAGTGCTAGTAATTGACTCCTTTAATGTGCAGCAATCTCCATCATACCACCAGATATCTAGCTAATAATCAAGAAATAGAATTTACGCGTATAGAATCGCTAGTAAGGTGCATATCAAACGTTATCAAACAGCTGAAATATCCAACGAAGGAATTGCATCTTCCTACTGGCCTGAAAATGTAGACTAATTTCTCTGTATGAACAATATGCATGGACAATTGTACATCGATCATACAGTGCATAGATAAACGGCAGACTGGCTAACCTACTATGCACTTTTCACCTTCTTATTAATTTTATTTGTACAGTATACTCCTAAATTATAACCTCTACCATATCAATTCTTTCTATCATATACTGTGCTAAGAAATCGTTGTGTTATGTGGCTTACTGCTATTTTCGCAACTGCGGCTTTGTTAAGCGCTACATTCATTAACTTCAATTTTTGTATAAAATTAAGTTAATTAATTGTAGCTCTTAATCAATTTGATGTCGATTATACACCCTACTATGAACAAGATATAGCGCAAACTATCGCTATGTATCATACATTCGATTCTTGCTGTAATTAATCTCAAGATTTGTTTTAAAAAATTGCATCATTTAGGAAAACCTACAAAAACTAAAGAAGGTCATGAGGTACGAACATGCCGAGTGGCTGATAAATCTGGATCGATAAATATCTCCGTTTGGGATGAATGGGGACAGCTAATCCAAGGTGGAGACATCATCAAAATTTGCCGAGGGTAATTTAACTAAATCTAATTTTTATAATGTAGCGAAGAAACACTTCTAGTTGTTCTTACGGTGTTATAATTAATAATAATAGAATTTTAAATTATTTTGCTGATGCTAACTGCAATCCAAAAGTGTTCACATATGAATACCTATAGAAACAAAATTTTAGGAGCTTTCATAAAGCAAGTTGCACTGCATCGATAGCCTATTTGATGATAACATTCTTATGTGATACTACAGATATACGGCGTACTGGAAAGGTTTTCTAACTATTTATACTGGTCGAGGAGGATATATTGAAAGAATGGGAGAGTACGTATTAGTAAATCTATTTATAGTATAAGATTGTACTTTTATAGATTAAAGCTGCTATTGTACTGTAATTCGAAAACAATCACTTGACTTATGTTCCCTAATTTTTTGGACAGTTTCTGCATGGTATATTCTGAAAATCCTAATATTAGTGAGACGATTACTGAAAATCCTCAACAGCAAAAGGTGCTCATTTCTCAATATATAGTGATTGCTTTTACTTCATCATCGCCAACTCACAAATTGATTTTATACCCTTTCCAATCTTGCAGTTACCCAGTAATGCTGATCAGCAACACAGCCAGTCATCTGCTCCGCAACAAGCCAGAACAAATAGCAATACTTCTTCGAATGCTGCAGCTGCAAAAACGTCACAGCCTGCTAATTCTACAACTGTTACACCGCAACACCGTCCTACACGATCTCAGATACGTGGATCTCAGGCACCACCGACTAGTAGTGCACCACCCCATCAGGCTTACCCTGTGATTTCTAATGGTCAAAATAATACTACCAACGTTACCACAGTTAACAGGCCTAGACCGAGAATGACATTTTCTAACATACCTAGATGATGACATCTATATGTTATATACTCGTAGGAGGCATCAAAATCTGAAACAATAACTTAAATCTGAAATTCCAGTGATGTATTTGGATGACCTTCATGAACAGGAAACTGTTCGTGACTGCAAAATAAACTATATGCATTTATACCTTATAAGCGACGTTTTCCATTGATTTGAAATAATACAGCTATGAAGACAGTTTACATGTCTGAAAGTTAGTATTGTTAATAAATTTATACTTAGAACTTATAGCAACCGTTTCGGTGACAACAGTAAAATACTGCTGCTTTTATGTCGTTTATAACCTGAATTATCGTATCTTATGTCATGCTCATTTGTAGCAGTCCCGTCTTTGCACCATATATTAAATTCAATTGATATTTAATTTCTAATAGCTACCCCACGCACATTTATGCAATAATAGCCCTATCTTTGGATCATATTGAAATTCAGTTAGGATTTAATTTCTAATGGTTAAGCCTATGTTATTATAAACAATTTATATTAATGCCTGTTTTTGCCATCGCAATCAGTTAAAGCCTTCGAGTAATACGAGCACGAGTAGATATTGTAGTAAGATCTATACTGTAACGCATACACTTACAGTATCATTTTTCGAATGATGACCGTACTTTATATGGTATACAGATGCATCACAATTCCCTTTATATCAAATCATGTTCGCAATAGATTTAAAATTCAGAAATAGCAGCTATAAAATACTATGCTAAATACACAGTAAAACACTACACGCTGAGTATAGCACAAGGATGAACGAAATTGCAAGATTCTCAGGCTTGATGAGAAAGTAAGGAAATACGAGATAAAATGGTATACACGACAGTACACATCTTACTTGCGACAATTGTATTTATTAACAAATTAAAAGAGGTCAGTCTGTAATCAAGAAACGTTAATAATATACTTTTATCATTGATTGCAATCAAATACGTGATCGTATTCACGTTCAGCAAATGTTTATAATATTAATATATCTCAGGTTATTACTGATATGACATATGTATGCTACTTTATGAATTATATTATCATTACATTACCGAAATAAACACTAGTTTCTTTTGTTAGTGTTTAGAAGAATTAGCTAAGATTCAATCAGACATTGGTTCTACTAACACTAATAGAATATGTTCGTGAATTATAAGGAAAAAATTATAGTATCAAAGCGTATTACAAACAAGATCCAGCAAAGTTTGCAACTACTACCTACGATAGATTGTTAATTCAAGATTCTGGAATCAATATATGATTACTCGCATGGCAAGATGACGAGGAATTTGAATTTTACAAATAATACAATATCATGAATAAATTTTTAAGCAATTTTCAGGCCATGGCGAGAGATTCACCAAGAAAAACATCAAAATGGAAATACGCGTACTACTTATAATATGTAATTCTAAGCTTTGTACTAAATTACGGCGTAAATATGTAAAATACTCTACGTATATCACTATATGCTACGAATTTAGTATCAATCATTCAGGAGACACACTTGAATTTTATCATTTACAATGGCGTTCTAAAAGTAAAATAGTATTCTTAGTATGCAATTGAAAAATGATGTAGTTCTTACGAAATCAGCCATAATTTTATGTACTGCATTAAATATGCAAAACTTTTATACTGTATCTAGATCAAGAATTAACGTGTTATTGCCAATACTTAATGTCTCTATAAGAAGTAAAATCAATTCATATATTGAATTCGTCTGTGACTCGCGATCATGAATATGATTTTATATTGTGATCGGGTATCTTCTTAAATCTAAATATTTACCAAATGCATAAAATTATCCAAAACTGCAATGTAACAATGCTATATGTTTATCATATCTCAGATGCTTCCTTGATGTATCACTCATCCAAATCAAGTTCATCATCTAGACTACCATTACCATTCGTATACGCTGCAGATTTTTGCGACCTTTGTGGTAAAGACACACTGGCATGATTTTCTGACTTTTCGGAAATTTGATTGACATCAGTTGAATGTTGTAGAAAATCTTTGCAAGTATCATGCCTCAAGTTTTCTTTAGAGCCGTTGGCAGGATTTATATCTTCACGCCAGTCTTCACCGTCAATGTGGTGATTTCCATTGTGCTTATTATTCCCTAAGTTCTCATTTCTACAAGACTCTAGCTGTGAAGACTCCTTACTACTACCACGGCGTTCTGATGTCCCAGTAGTAGTCTGACCATTAGCTGTATCCATTTCTGCTTTCATTGTGCTATCATTTGATTTCAAATCCATTTTTTCAGTATCTTGAGAATGTTCATATTCTTGACTGTTACTTTCTATTCGTTCCTTATGATCTTCTACTGGTCGTGAGTTATCGCGAACTTTCGTATAATTTCTAGGCATCGCGGACTGACCGACCGCTTTTGACGCCTCTTCCTGTCTCTGTTTGGCTTTATTTCCTCTTCTGGCATTTCTTCCTCGTCTAGACTGACCCATGACTTGTCGATTTGATCGATTACCAAAATTATTACCGTTAATTGCATTATCCATGTCAGCATTTTGTTTGCCCTTAGCTTTCTTAAGGCTTTGTTGATGAATTTTCTCTGTGTTCACTTCCTTTACAAGATTGTCATCATTCGATTCGATTCCTAAAGCCTCCTTTAAGGCTTCACTTACTGTATCTCTGATTGTCTTGTGCTTTTTCGATTTATCTGTTTTCTGAACTAAACTAGTAGTAGACTTTCCACCCTCAGCGCCTTTTATCGTTTTTGAATTATTTCGTGAGTCATTTGCTGAGCCTAGATATCAATATCCAAATAATTAGTTCGAGATAAGTAAATCAAAGATAAGGAAGGACTAATCTTAAGTATAGCAATAGTTACAGCTCGAGGATATTACAGTCACTCTTCATTACCTATAAACTTTTCACCCTTCTTTGCCTTCGATGATGTTCCTACAATTTTTACTCCACTATTCTCTTTACATAAATGTTCTATTGGTGCCTTAAAATGTACTAAGATACAAGGAATCGCAATTAGAATCATACGTTTACTTTTCTATTCCAATTTCGATTAACACTCATAATTAAAGTCAATTTGAATAAGGAGTAGCAATAATACAAACATCAACGATTACCTGCTCCTAAACATCCAATCAACTATAAAGAAAAAAAGAATTATAGTTCCATTATAAATCATATGAAACTTCTACAAAATGATAATCACTATAAGCCAGTAATAACTGACATTATCTGCTTCAATAGCATACCTTAGTTATCTCTTCAGTTCCAGACGCCGAAAAATTGAACTCCATTGCATCAGTATTAATTTGACTATCAGCCAAATAGTTCTATAAGGATTTAGATGGATTTCCATGTTATATTTCTAAAAAAAACTATTACCAGATAGGATAAATTTCTTACAAGAATATCAGCTTTTAATTCCTCTATCTGCTGTTCATTCATTGCTTCAGCGGATTCACATTTTATTCGTAAATCACTTGCTCGCTTTTGTATTTCTATCAGCTTAGTTTCTATAATTATATATGATAATCGATTGACAATGAATAATTGGAGGAGAAATTAAGAAACATTAAATGCTAACAATACTTACCAATTAAATGGCCGCGTTTATTTACTAAACTCTCGAAATATTGTTCACGGTCGTGAATACTAAAAGCAACAATTCCAAATCAAGTTTACAATTAACGGTAAAGAACATTAAACTAAAAGACAATTTACAATTAAAGCATGATTAAAACTGTAGTGATCTCTAATAAATTGTTCTACTATAAATCGACAGAGTTGTTACCTTTGCTTTATCTCATTAAATGTATCGGCAAACTTTAAGTTGATCCCATCAATATTCTAATAATTTGGCAATACGACAGTAGTTAAAACCCGCAGGATGGATAAAAATAGATAGCTAAAATTTCGTTAAGAGTAGCAGATATGACAAAGTTATACATTATGCTAACCAGCTTTAATTGACAATGTTTGATGTCGATTGATTGACTGCTAGTGACAAGTTTGCTTTTCAAATCATCCAGACTGATATCATTCACATCAATAAAATGGCTAGATGCAGCCAGATTTTTGCTAGGTAATTCTCTGCTTTTGTTTTTTAAACTTTCTGTACCGTTATTTCGTCGTTTACTATTGTTTGCAGTCGTAGATTCTCGTTCAGTTGGTTTATTGCCTGTCCTTTTAGGGCTAAGATGAGAAGTGTTGGAAGGATTCACCGAAACCTGTGAATTTCCTACAACTTCAACAACATATTTGATAAAATTAGTATGGTAAAAAGCGCTAGCGATTAGAAAAGACCATCAAACCATCTGAATTAAACTAACAGCCATTTATTGCACCAAAATTCATACGGTAAAATGATTAATATTTTCAAAAATTTGTAAATGAGCGATCACTAATTTTAATTATTACGGTAAGAATTTATTTGGTAAGGATACGCAAACAATACCAGATCTTGTTACAGAACGCAAGTGTAAGGTGAAAAATGTATCATTAAAGATGAGTTTACGACGACATTTAGTTCTTAATCTTCTATATTTCTATATATCCCTAATAAAATACGGTAATAATACCCTTCTAGTTCTCTATATTTTAAGAAACTGATTATAGTCATCTCTTGGAAAGTAGCACGTAAGTATATACAGTATTATGATAATTATAGTACGACTCTTGATAGTTGCAACTAAGGTTCTTATCAGTACAGTAGCATACATCAATCATTCTAATTTAAAATTTTAACTTTGAAGTTGTGCAATTTCACATAAGCAACATCATTTAAGGCTTTTCTAGTACCGTGTTAAGTTTGAGTATAACTAACGTAGTATATAAGTCTAGTACTGTTAAAACGCTACATAATATTATACTATTACAGGTAAGAACATATGTAGACATAACATCTATCATTATAATATAAGCGCACTGTATTACCTGGCTTACTTTTCGCCTTTTTAGATTTTCGGTCCGATATAGATGTGGCAGTAGAAAAACCCTATTAAATTAAAGATCAATAATATTGTGATATTTCATACTGTAAATTGTAACTTTTTATTATAATATTTTATAACTGAGATTTTTTCTGAACGACTTTTAGTACTGTAAATATCAATAAGTCACAACGAAGTGAAAATCGATAAAAAAAGTGTCTAAAATAATTAAGCACCACATCATCAAATCGTTAACTTTTTATGCGTTGCACAGCGGCAACAAAAGATATATAATCTTAATAATGAAAACCAAAAGTGACCTAAAAGAGAAGCATGCTGTATAATAAATCATGATGATTCTTATCATCTTATTAATTTTAGCGTTTTGTGATTACGTCACGCAGACTTTGATACCATAAGATGGTACTTTCTAAATTCATTTAACTTTCTACTAAAGTACTTCTATTGCATTATACCAGATTAATTATAACTACAATCTTTAATCTAAGTTTGTCCTAATTTGAAATTAGAGTTATTACTGAAATACTGTAGCAAGTAATGCTGCAATAATAGGTAACATACTTGTCACTTAAATTAATTAAAATAATGAGTTAGACACAACATATTAACAAAAACAACTTCAACAATGTAATCATTTTCAGCTACGTAACACAATTATCACAATATTGTGAATAATTTATCTTTGAAGTAATTGAAGGCATTCGAATAAAAATCCAAATTAATACTATGAAGTTAAAATCCCCAGAGAGAGGAATGCAAAACATTCGTAAAGCAGATAGAAAACTACAGGTTATGCATGCAGTGATATCTGTATCCTTATTGCCTCCTTCATTATTAAATGTATGTAGAATGACCCTTGTTTTTTTTTTTTCAGTATTTAATACATATGTAGCATTACATAACTAAGAACGTGAAACAGCTAGAAAGAGTATTTAAAATTATTTATTTCAGTGTTGCCATTACGAACCCCTTTTTGTGTACGCCACTCTTGGAGAATGTTTTCAACACCCTCTAAAAATAATAGATTGATATTAGTACAATAATAAAGATTGTAGCAATGTAAGATATGTACTGTTGATACCCAAATTTCACTACTACTAAATGCGCATATAGTGAGCATGTCAACAAAATCATGATATTTTACGAGATGTATCAGATAAATAACTATAAGCCAGTAACTTTTTAAATCATTATTGAACAACGCTAGATTGGCATAATGATAGTATGAAAATAGAGATTACAGCAATAGGACATATGTACTGTATGTTTCCATATTACCAAATACTTTGATGCAAGTACACTAAATACGTTAATAAGGTTATCGTATGTTTCAAGATGTGTTCGATAACAAATTATAAACTAATGGAGTTTAGTAACTATTACTTGAATAACGTTAATAATAATCAGAAGTCAAGTAGTTGTAAAATAATTTTTAATGGCTCGGTTTAAAAGGAGCTTACCTATTTTACGACTAGTGTATGCGTATCAAATAAACTACTATTAAATTTTCTTATAATGCCATTTGCTACGAAATAATGTATATTGCAGCTACTATGAATACTTATGAATTTTGAATCAATGAGCAGTACATGTTATGTATGTATCCTTGATTAATTCATTACCAGTACAGTATTATTATAAGCTACAATACATAATACGAAGTTATCATATAATGTGTACCTTCTTCGATCCTAGCCACAGCCTTTTCAACAACGTAATCACAGGATTGCAGAATCATAATAATTTCATCTTTTGATACGCCAGACACAATACCAGCTATAAAGGATATCTATTGATTGAAATACCCATAGAAATTGATTTAATAGTTATAATTAGCAGTCTTCGATACGTATATTAAGAGTATTAAATAAATAAACACGTTCATTGGGGGAAAAAAAAGGTTTCAAATTATTATGGTTCTGGTAGTACCAAGAGTAAGCAGTATTAGATGTATATAGTAAAAGTATAGATATCATAAAGTTCGGCAGATTTATGTCGAACACCCTTTCATATTCAATTATTATCAAAAAGCTTCTTTGTTTGTAATTAATCAGTGACATAGTCTAGATATTATATAAATTCAATTTAAGAAATAATAGAGAAATCGACTTTGATCCTATAGTTATAATTGTTACCGCTGTCGAATCGTTTCAATCAAAGCATGCTGTCAGTACGATATACGTAAAAAGTACTTTTCAACGAGTAATCATTACAGATTAACTTTTTTCTTCAGTACGCATACGTATTTTATGTATCTCATCGTTCTCGTAGTAGCATACCGTTATCTCGGTTGGCACTATTTTTACAGTGACCAAGGCATTCTTTCACAAAAATAAATTATAAAAACTACTGTGAGGTATTCAAGCATTTGCTTGTAGATTGTAAGTTTTTCTAACAAGTAAAAAATTAATGTCTAATATTGTATTTACTTTTTCAATGAGCATGATTCGTTTTGTCTTATTAAATTAACTCTACCTAATGGAAGGCGAATTGCATCTATCAGAAAAATCGAATAGGATATTCAGTATGAAATAATTTACTGATAGGATTATCCGCTCAATCCTAAAGAAATTATCTATTTTTATAGTATTTCAAATTGTTTGATCATGACTAATACTTAAAATTTGTGCGATGAACTATAACATTGATCTATCCAACAGTGTCGTCAAGACATCTACAACATACCATATATGAAGAATAATCGTAAAAACTAGGAACTGTACCGGCTACATAGAACTGTATGCCGTACAAGAGTATCAGTGAAGGTCTCGTGATGCACTTATTTAAGCAGTTTCGCATTGAATGCATTCCATGATATAGTGAAGCAGGTACGGAATTGTTTAGTTAAAAATCGGTGGTTAATTATAAAATAGTTATTTACAATGTATCTGAAATGCAATCAACCTACATAATGAATTGGAAACAGTATTGTGTAGTATCATAACATAAAACGCAGTTTTACTCTGTCCAAATTTCTTCTTCGGTCTAAAAATACTGCAAATACAGTAACTAATTTGAATACAAATTCAATAGGTCACACTACTCCATCAATGGTATAATAGATTGTTAAAGATAGCTTTATCATTGTTTACTGTATGGTGGAGAGCACAATTTACAATAATATGTTAACCTAATACTTTCTTTCAAAGTTTTGAATGCTCCTAAAGGAAGAAAGCATGTAGCACTATGAGTCGTTATGATCAGTAAAATCGTGCAGCTAAGGCAAAGTGTTACTTATTAGCAGATCTGAGCAGGATTAAAATATAGTTCAATTATTAACAGATGATGTTATACCCTTAGACTAAAATGCGAGAGTATTACAAAAGGAGTACGAACATAGTAACATTGTAATTTGAATGAATATATGTATAGTTACTGTAGTATCTAGAGATTTTTTAAAAGCAAAAAACATACTATAAACTACATTTTTGAAATTATAACCATGGCAGCCATTCAACATCATCAAGAAAATTAATAGCATATTACCGCATTCCCCATGGTTGAATGAATCACATATCTTTTATGAAGTTAAATTGAGAAACAGGTGATAGACCAATGTTATAAATGATACCACAGAAATAAGATAAACCGTAATAAATATTGGATATACGATATGATATTACTTGTTCACGTCTACGGTACTACTTTCAATATAGACCTCGATCGCATCGTCAATACTAAATAGTCAATGCTAGAGATATACAATACTACATAAACTACATACAAAAAAGCGTATGCCAAGAACTCGACCACATTAACGCATAGCTATCAGTTATACTGTATAATTGCTATTTCTAAATAACTCTTCGCACGGAATACCATTTCTCTCTACAGCAATTGAATAGAAAATAGGCACAATCACACAATGACGACAATGGTGCTATCAAATTAGAACTAATGTTATAGTTATTACCCCTTGAATTTAAGAAGAAGCGACTACGTTACTATCAACTGACTGCAGCAATCTTTGTTGGTCAACTTATCCTTGGAATTAATTTCATACTACTGTGTTGGACGTTTATGGTAGATTTAGGTATAATCATAATTATAATCGTTTTGGTGGCGTGAGCAAGATGTTTGTTGAAGCATAGATAAACACAGTCTAGTCTCTCTAGTGAAGCGGTAATACGGCAATAGGCATCCATTACCAACTGAAAATGTTATCAGTACGCGATAGCTATCTATCCTAGCAGATTGACATTCTAGTCATTGTTGGATTTAGGGAGGCACAATGTATGCTACTTTGTAAATGGTGAATCTGTTTTTATCTAGGCATTCTTACTGGCATGCATCCTAGTAATAGCGGAGCTGCCTGGATAATAATTTATAAGAATCAATTTCATCAGTTAAATGTACAGTAGATAATTAACACTCCCCGATGGTTTTCAATAGTAGCACACAGTAGATAAAAAAAAAAAAAATATGACCAATGATATCAGATTTTTCGTCACGAGTGGGCTGTGGAAGATAGATTACAGTTGTTCCTTTTAAGAAGCAAATCTAAATATTATTAACCAATAATCAATCCATTTTTTGCAAAATTCAATATCTCCAATTTCCTAAACATAAACAGACTTGATTTTAAGGGCAAAGCCTGCAACTACGATAGACTGTATCAACAAAACGAAGTGCAGTAGATGTAAAGCAGAATACTGTCCCATGTTGACGCATAGCTATAGACAGGTATATTGCGTGTGAGATAATGTTTACCCATGTCCATTTGCTTGCACATTGTGCAGTATTTGTCGAACTAGTTGAAAATTTTATTAACTTAATTTAAGGAAGACAGTAAACACACCAGTAAGCTGTACCACTGTCCAATTCTGACTAGGTGGTTACACCTTAAAAGTATTATTCATTCCCCGTTATTTATGCAAAGAACATTGATCAGTCATCATCGCTATAAACCGACTATAGTGCCTTGGAAAAAAAAAGTAGAAAAGTTGTTGCTGCAGTTAAAAATGATCATGGTAGAATGATAATGGATTTTCCCATGGTGGTGATGAATTGAAGGTAAGACAGTATGCAGCAACCCATTGTAGCTATAAAAGAATTTTTTTCAATCACGGTGAATCAAGCAAGCCAATGTGAAAAAATACTGCTGACCTGTATTGAAGAGGAAAAAGAGAGAGGGAAAACTGCAACCTACTAGGATTACAAGGACATCAGCGATTCTTTCCAACTCATGGTTGGTTGTTGTCCATAAATAAGACACCGTACAGTATTCAGTTAACAAGCTCATTGATGAATTTATCAGGACAATGCAATAAAATATGTATAGTGATCGCACTTTGTTAAGACAGCAGGTGTACATTGTACAAGGATTGTGGGCAATTGATGGATGATGATGGTCCAAGGTATAAAATTGGGGCACTTTTTTTACTTCGTCTCCAATTTTGACTGCGATAGAGCTCGATTGTACACAGGTCATTGGTGTTATAAGACTAAGATGGAGTCGAGTACAACATCACCGACTATTGCCACTGTCGATCCTTTGCTACTGCTGTTGTAGAAGTCGAATGGAGCGGGATTGACTGGATTCATTTATTCCTACAGCATTGACCTTTCTTTTTACATACAAATATTGATTATTCTTAGCAATCTCAAGTTGAATTTTCAACCTCTTGACGACTGTACTCTCCTTCTTGATCTTCCTCTAACCGTCAATGATGGATACAACAGGTATAAAAAAAAAAAGGAAAATTGGAGACGAAGTAGAGAAAAAAAAAAAAAAATGGTGTAATGTTGGTCGATGACTGTGAAGAGAAACTGCTGTGAAATGATGAGTGTATGACGCACTTTGCAGTGTTGACGTTAACAAATAACGTCAAAGAAAATGGATGATACAATACTGGCTACGATCAAATAACTGCTAGTCCTTTCTCCATGGTAAGAAATAAAGGATTGATTTACCTTCATTTTCATTTCCTTCTCGGTGATAGCGTAGTCAGCCATTTTCATTGGATTGATAGTTGTTGAGGAATGGATTCGCTACCTGCAAGTAGAGAGGATTAAAGCTGTGGACACTGCACTAAGGAAATCATTAAGGTGAGACGCAATTTCTTCTGACCTGCAATTTAAAAGGATTGACTCAATCATTGATAGTTGACCCTACAGTCAAGTTGACAATAAATCCACAATACCATTGACAATAGACAATGCATGACTATGCTGTAGTACTGTACTGTACGCAGTACTGTAGCCATGGCAGTACTGTGCACTGTACACTGTACTGTACAGTACGGTATGTACAGTACAGTACAGTATGAAGTAAAGAGGGAGTACAAACTCAGATTGCGATCATCGCCATGACCAGTACGGTATGGTACGGTACGGTATGGTACCATTATGGATTGAGATTTTTACAAGAGGCACAAAACTGTTTGTGGACGAGTCACTCACTGACCGCACTTGACCTTATCAATCAACACCAACTCAACTACTGACTCATACAGTACTCACGACTGTCGGTGTGACGCTCCAATACGCTGACGAGACAATGGCCTGGTGCATATGAACGACTGGTACGGGCATTCGTGGTACTCTACACTGTCCAGTAGGTGCTCTATGGTAGACAATGCAAGTCCCTGCCCACTTTTGCGCCACAGCCCTGTATCGAAACCTGAAGTGGATTCATACTAGTACTAGTGTCAGTCTGCCCCTACTGACGTACTATCACCAATGAAGGCCAACACTCTAATACGGGAATGACTGGACGGGACAGACAGTTGAATAACACAGACTTGGCATGCAGATCGAAGAGAGGGTATGCGATATGACACGCAGTTTTGTACCCATTGGTCTGCGCTTTCCGTTTTAAATCCCCTGCTACTGGATCGGTCAATAATCATTATAATGAATAAAAATCAATCAATCAATCCTTCTTTTTCAACACCAAAGTATTACAGGAAAACATAAAGTCATTAGGTCTGCTGCTACTGATTGACCGACCGCTGTATCATAGTGCTCTTTCACTGCAAAGTAGAGTATGGAGATTACTCGATAGTACAGTAGTACAGTTGTCCTGTACTGTACATTAGGTACATTACTGTCAGAGAGATACAGTAGTGTACTGTATACTTCCCAGTAGGCCGTCTCTGACGCTGTACATTGTACAACAGGGGGTAAAAGCTTAAATACTCAATACTAACTAGTGTTACACCGGCAGTTGTGATTCAATGGCTCTTTGAAAGTTATTCACTGTCAGTAGACTTGGTGCTGAGGATTATTTGCATAATCCATTTGACTTTCAATATACAAGAAATTAAATCGAGCTACTTGCCAATTACGTAATCCGCAAGTACAATAGTCGCATTGGAATGCAGTTACTGTACAACTATGTATCACGTATCTACCAAGGTAATGTATCAGGCAGTCATTTACGGAATTCTATTTTTTTCTGTCTCTCTGTCATGTCTGACTGCTTTTACAGCTGCGCCCTATCCTGTAAGTACTCGTGATCAAGTTGGTTTCAGTTTCACACAGTACGGTGTACGGGTTGCAGTCATCTGATAGAGTAAAGTAAGTAGTAGAGTAGTCAGCCTCTATCCTTTTTTCAGTAAAATCATAGCTACAGTCTTTCTCTTTCTTTTTAGTAGTCGCGGGTAATGTTGAATGATTGTACCGTTCTAGACTACGAAAAACCATCATTAAAATAGGTCTTTTTATGGACTCAGCGGTCTACAGGAAGTCGTCCATGCCATGTACATTGTACAGTAACAAAGAAATCGATTGGCTGATGGAGCTACTGTAGTCTGATACGCTTACACTTATTGCGTTTTTTGCAGATGAATTAACCATTAAGAGTACGGTCTGCATAGTCAACCCAGTACTGTATAGTCCTGATTTAGATCCACACCTATCCGAGGAAAAGCCCCAGCTTACAGTGCAGTACTGTTAAGAGTCGCTGCTGTACAGTACAATGTACTGTACTGTACTGTACTGTACAGTATTACTACCGTACAGTACGTGTATCGCGTACTGTATCACCTTTCTGGACTACAGATCTATCACTACCTCAACTGTGCCATACACTAGGATATTGAGTTGTAAGCTGTATCAGTACCAACAGGCGGCTTCTCCATCCATTATAAAATGACGCGTAGCTGGTGTCACTAGACCTGACCGTGTCATCAACGTAGAGAGTGAAGCGAACATGACTGCATCAGTGAATAAATGATTGCTATAGTGACTAACAAGAAAAGGAAAAAATGGCGATCAAATTAGAGGGACTTCTTCATAAATGGACCAATTACATTAGCGGTATAAAGCTTTTTTTGGATTGTAGATATTGATAACATCCATTAAAATAGTAGAGAAGGAAATAGTTCAATTGAAATGTTATACAGTACAACATGCAATGAATGTTGTCATTCTCATCTTGTCAGCTAATACTGCTTATTGTAGTTGCATAGGCCAATTCAATATCCTTCTACAGTGATACTAATTCTTTCCAACTACTTCAGCCAATTTATCCTATACTAAAATTGCAATGGCAGTATTATTAAAATAAATTGAACCGCCATGAATGATTGAAAACTGAAAATGTCACTTTTCACTAAGAAATATCGTATACAATTTTTATTCGTGGTCTAGTCAACGTACAGCTTCTTGCAAGGGCATTACCTTGCTCAATCGTATTTATTCTTGTCATACTACTCTTAACGAAACGTACTGACAAAGACATACTTCAGTAGGAAGATTTTGACACACAGACATAGTATACCTTCACTAAATGTTCGACATAGTTATGGAAGTTATGGGTTAAGATTGATTTTGCTGTTGTGCTATTATTCGAATACTGTTACTTGACAAACTTGATACCCCAAGCGTATGTTTGCGATTGAACTCAACTGATTAATCCCTACATTACAATCATTTATTGAAACTGGGTCTACAATAATAGACTGATCACCTACTGTAGCTAGACCAAGTTTAGCGAGCTATCCTACCATCTACATTATCGAAATACTACATGTACACTACCGATTACAGATATTACTTTCCATCTTGACATCATGCAAGTGATTACATGTTACTGTTGATGATTGTGTAGCGAATTTGAAAGTTCTTGCAACGATAATAGAGTAAGATTTCACTACTGTTATAATCATGATGACGGTAGCAGATGCTACACTGGCTATACTGTAATTAATTTCTTTGTGCCACTTGTGTATATACATGTAGAAAATATTCCTATCCAAAATTGACATGCTAGACCGTGTATGGATTGATACTCAACATATTATTAATTGCATTAGTTTACCGTAAATACTGAGTGATTGTACGTATTATTGTACGTACTTTGTAGATACGCTCCGCAAGTCCAAAGACTTCTTACGTATGCATTATCTACAGACCATTATCAAAACCATTCCAGCGTAATATCACCTATTTTTTGTTGAAAATATTTCCTATTGAATACTTCACCAGGAACGTAATAACCCGGAAATAATATTAACTTAGATGCCAATCCCTGCCCAAAAGTTTCTAAGGCATACATATATATATACTTGAGTAGAATCAAATCATGAATCAGTCAATAGATGCACGTACATTGGAATCTCTCGGTTAACTATTATAAATTACCTTGCAATACATATTTACGATGCTTGTACTTTTTACACCTTCCCGCTAACGTTCGCGAATGTAATTACCATGATGCTACCACCACTTACCCTACGAGCAGTACTAATGATTATTAAATAATAAATTATGGATAACGTAAATTTTTTTTCTGTACAGGTTGGCAACCACGATGGTTTATTCTTGATGATGGTACACTTAGTTACTACAGAAGCGAAGACGAGGTCGATATAGGATGCCGGGGATCATTTAAAATGACCTCATGTGAAATATCAAGTAAGTCTTTGTGTAATAATAAGCCACAACTATATTTAGTCATGATACACACAATTATATTTCTATGATTGTATTATAACGTCGATGCTGTAATTCGTTGAAGTTAGCAATTATCTAAATGCTGAGTCGAAACATTAAAATCAAAATTCACATATACTGTAAATATGTATACTATTAATGAAAATTATTAACAATAGAAGTATTTAGCATTGATTATAACATAAATGCCATGATATTGATAAATGAATATCGATCTATCTATGCTGTAGTATATACAGTAGTAGAATCTACATCTAACGAAATACTAATATGCGTAATCTAATCTGATATTTAATGCACTAAATAAATATATTACCATGGTTCTGGAATCGACTATATTACAAACACTATGGCATTGATAGATGAATATCTATCTCGTAGTTCGATGCAGTAGTACAATACAGATTAATGGAATAGAATGTATATAATTTAGTAGTATGTGATGTCTAACATAGTACCATACGACTGATTTACTTAACAATACCGCATATTACAGCCTTGACTTCAATTTCACAAGACGTAACATCTAAATTCTATTGTACTTCTCATCTACAATTATATGATCTAGCATGTCCCACAGATTTAACTCGAATAGATCTATTCGTTCCTCCGGGTCAGTATATATATGTAAAGGCTACAACGCAAGCTGAAAGACAGAAATGGTTAGTCGCTCTGGGTTCGTCCAAAGTTTGCATTGGTTTGGGAGAGCAACCTAGTAGTTCCCGTAAGTTACAATATACCACTACATAATGATAAGCTTACTGTATATCAGAGCTATCACATTAATTCAATTTACCGCGCATCTATACAATATACGTACTGTTCATGCTATATTTAATATGTAATAAATTTTCCTAAGTATGTTCGCCACTTCATAATTATAAAACTTCATTCAGTGCAATAAACTAATTAATTCCATGGACATGACGCTTAAATCACTCGCTTTAACTCTAAGATCATTTCACTTCCTATTGATATTGCTAGTTATTACAGTATTTTTCCCGTTTCTGTAATCTGTTTTATCCACGTAGAATCAAGAAACATAAGCGTATTGAAGTTTAAGCTGGAAGAAGTACATCATTACCGTATTCGTTTACTACAGCAAGTGTATGCATTAAAATTCAATGTAACGCAAGATCAAATTGATCAGCAGGTACTGATAATGCGCAATTAATAGTATCAGTACTGCCTTTTTAAGAATCTCTTACAGTCTCGATATTTCTTGACGATTAATAAATTAAACGAAGGTATGATTCATCAAATTTTCGTAGGCATTAGATCAAACTGCAACCAAATTATCTGATATGTGCGACGAATTTTTAAGTAATGTGGATTCTTTTATGCAAATTTTAGAAGCCAAGCAAGGTAAACTTATTGTCTTTTCTGTACATAACTCCTAATACCATGTATCGTAAGCCGTTATTTAAACTGAAGTGTTAACACGGTTTTATACTAGGCATACCTGCACACCTTCCAACTAGCGAGCCTAACACTCCTACATCAACGGTAATAGAAAATACTTCTGAATAAGATGTACTGTAATGACATTACAAGGTGTATATCAGCTCTTTGGTTTATCACTCTATCACTATATTAGCAACCTTTCTACGTAGCAAAACCTGGTAAACCTGTAGAAATTAATAGAGAAATAATGAATCATAGGTAATACTGTTATTGGATTAAGGCACGCTAACTTCATATATTATTTAAGATTGCTAGCCAACTTGAATTAAAAATGAAAAACGTATTGCATACGCGTACTAAATAATACTAGAAGTATTAAGAAATAAAGATTCTCAGTACTATTATTTTACTTACTTTGGTGCTACTGTTCGAAATTATACGTAGTGCTACCTCATCAGTTTCAAGCTTTCATTCAGCCGATAATAGCGATGATGAGAACGACATTTTAGCAAGTGGTATGCTCTATTATTTCCTTAATTACCTATCAACTATTAAATATGCTTAAATGTAATAGTATTGAATACAAAATTTAAACCTTTCTAGCCCCACCAAATGTAATCAACACTGTAAGTCGCAAAATTAAGCCAAGCGGAAATAAAATTGTTTCAGCTAATGCCATCGATACAAAACAAACTCAACAATCGTCAGTTAACGGTAAAGTTAGCAACGAAGATAGAACTACATCTGTACAAAGAAAGGATGAAGCTAATGAAACTTGTCAAAGTGATATTACAACTTCAAGCTACCAAACTCATACACATAATACGGTAAAAGTGGAGCTTAATGTACAAGCAAACAATAAAAATACATCACAAGTAATTGCAAGTAAAGAACAAAGTAAACCAAAGCCGTTAACTTTTTTTTCTGTCAAATCAAACAGGTAAGATTATGAAAATTAATGATAATCTACTGCTAAATGTTAACTCTAATTTCGTGCTATCGATCTTAGAAGGATTACAATTAAATTATACTTGCTTTTTTTGCCATTTTAAATTAGATTCGATTTGATAGTATTAGGCGCTGATGGTGGAATTCCATCACAACCTTTTCTAGCTGCATGTACTGAAATTATTAGCTTCCTTGGTAAGTATTTAGAAACTAAATCGATGATATTGAATATCTATTTCCGTATTTTGATGCTCTTTTGATATCCTAATCAAGTACCTATCTTTCTATCTTACAAATTTGTATCGATTATCATATTATAGATATTATTGGTCCAACCGCTTTTGCTCCTGTAAAAATTGATATTAATGGCAACATTAAGGTGTGTACTTTATTATAAATTATAAATCCTTGAATATTCGTTGACTACTCTATTCATACATACTCTAGCAATTTTAATCTAGTATACTGCAATACTCAAGATAATCTTAATGTATCAATAGAAACTACAACAGAAATTTTATAGCAAATCAAGCGCTTACCAAACCCTGCAACTTATGATTATGAGTGAAGTAGAAGCAAAAACAACTACTGTGAAAAACTCAGCCACGGATGCTCTCTTATGGCTGAAAAGGTAACAAATGTAACGATCTATTGTGTGTGCTTATTTTAAACATTACAAGATTTCTTAATTATTATATTCCAGAGCGCTAGAATTTATCTATCACTTTCTTCATCGATTTTCTAGTGGAGAGCAAGATTTAGTTGCAGCTGCAAGTATGCTCAGCTATTTGTAGTAGTAGACTTTTAATTGAATACTGTACAGAAATTTAACCCAATAGATTAACTTTAAACAAGAGTGCTTACAGTATCTCACATTCTTAATTGTATTACTAGATTATGCATATGGCAAAGCATTAAAACGATTTCATGGATGGATGATAAGAGGAGTATTTTCGGTAATTATTAGATCATTATCAAATATGACCGTAATTTACCTTTTATTAACCATATAGTCATACGATATTTCTATTCCTTATATTTATTAGCTGGCTTGCCGCGCTATACCTCTTCGCAAGGATTTAATTATAGCTCTATCAAGTATTAATGGACAACAAACAGTTGCAACAGAGAATGACGTTATAGAAGATATCATACAATATTCCAAATCCCTCGGATCCATTATTGATATTATAAATAACTTTTATAAGAAATTCAATTTGGATCCCAGTCTAGTAAGATAACTATTAACATTGTAGGCACTTTTTATTCCAATACCGAAAATAACAATTGTATATATATACTATATCATGCAAAAAAATTTTTAAATGCAGTTTCAATTATATACTACGACTACCAGCTACTTAATCGTATAGTAGCTGCTCCTCTAATGCTGTAAATAAGACGCAGAATGTATAAATTTAGTTGAAATAGAAAGAAGTCAAAATGAATAGCTTTAGGTGGCTATATTATCGCATATAATTATAATACGAGTATACGCGTACATGATGGGAGCAGTGGAATTTGCAGATTCTATTTTTTGTTAGATGATATAAGATACTAAAGTATAGCGCTCTATTAATACTGTACATTGTACGAGCTCTTTTTACCGATAGAAATTTTAATGTAAATTTTGATTACCGCTTTTAATTTTTCCTTTGTCAAAAAGAGACTGGTGTATACTTGTACGTACACTGTGATTACTATCCTTCGCTTCATGCAATACTTTTCTATGCGTAAATATGAAATTTGGAAAATGTACATTTACACATTGTACAGTACGTACGAATATTATGGTATTTATCATGCACTTTACTGTACTCAAGTGCAATTCTATAGAAGCCTCTTTAAACGTATCAAATCGTTATCCTTATATAATTTCAGCTAAAATGCAAACAAGATCAAAGAGAAATGTCATAGTTTTATTTTTATCGCCTGCTTATCAATACATCACTGTATGCAACAATTATAATTTCTTACGTATTACAAATGTGATAAATCAAGGATATTAACAATAGTAATGATAATTATAATTTAACTAATCTTGCTCCGGACGTAAAGTATAATTAACAGTAGCTTTCAAAGCGACAGACTGACTGTAGTAAGAAAATGAAAAAAGAAATTAAATTACCGTTTACAACAATATATTGAGTTACTAGTGATTGCTACCAATTTAGGTATAAAAGATTTACAGTCATGCAAATATTTGAATCTCTACCAACGATAGATGTAATATAATAAAATGAATATTACGATATGAATTCGAAGCTAATGTGACTATTCGAAAAATTTTAATTATTACAATAAAATACTTTCTATTATTTCTAAAAGCAACGATCCTCCTTGATCTTTCGGAAGTTTCTTTGCCAACGATCCCTTACAAAATAAGCAATTTGAGTAATAAATATGACAAACAATTAGTTCAATTTCACCATCGACCAGCAAATCGGTTTTTAGAATATTTTAAATATTCTTAATTTACCTTTAACTTTTCAATGTAGGTCATCGAACCATGCCAACTACTTTCAAAATTGGCATAGTCTGGGGCACCTTTATAAAATGCCGCAAGGTGTTTCTGAAAAGAGATTTTGAAATTTTAATCAAATTATAACTTAGGCAAGCTACCTTTCTCATCCATATTGCTAACATAAATCAATCGTTGCACTCACTACTTCATTTAGAACATCCTGTGTAAGAAATCGATCTTGTGACAGTGTATAATGAACATGCATAGGCATTTTTGATCCATTAATAACACTCTTTATAAAATCAGCACACAATGAATTAAAAATAAAATGCAAGAAAAATTAGTCCAATTTTCTAAATGGAGGAACACGTTTAATGAATGTTATATCTTGTAGTATCCGCACATATTATACCTCAGAATCGTTTGTTGAATATACCCAATAACTACATACGCCTGAATCAACATGCGATCTATTCGTGTAAAATGGTGCTGCAGTAAAACAGGAAAACTTAACACGTTAATGAGTTGAGTTTACAGATCTATAGAATTATACGGGCTTTAAATACATATCTTACGTACAAATTATTAATCCAAGGCAGGGTTCCTGTGTGCTATCATCAGTACGTAACACTGATTGAAACTGCTTTTGCGTACTAAGGTCTTGAACGGTTGGATTGGGTTGACTAGTAGGATGACTGTGATACCAGCCAACTAAAATCATATCACGAGCTTTCATAGATTTTTGAATCTAAAACGATATACGGAACCGTATAATAACAGTTTTATGGCAGTAGTTCAAGGTTACAATAAAGTAACAATGAGCATCTTAGTACTGTATGCATATGCTAGCATAGTGATAAAAATTCACTATAGCACAAAATTTGAAATACTGCTATCACTAACCTCCTCCTGAACTACTGCTGATATATTGTTATCACCTAAACGACATCGGCAAGGGAATGCTTGCAATACTCTCAAGACTACATATTATGAATATAATACAAAGAATCAATAATGTAATAGCTTTATGGGAATTATCCACTATATTAGCCCTTATATTGAATAAAGAATACTTCATACATTGTGTTTGAGGATCCCATTTTCCACCAATATAGCCCACCACCTCGCTGGTTGTTAAATGGCAATGTAAATCCTAAAGACAAATTTCACAATTAAGTCGAAAGCGTGGCAAAGTTACTGTACATTCAAAAGGCTTACCATTATTAACATCGCGTTACTGGAAATCGAAACAGAGAAAGGCTGCAATTTACCAATGCTACTGAAATGGACACATTCAATGAGCGTATCAGCTGGTCTATAATATAAATAGAAGCGAATTTACTAGGAATTTCGGGAAATGATAAAGGGCGATTTCATCTGTATGCAATATAGAATCGATTCAGTAATCCTGTCTTACGTATCATTATTAATTTGTGAATATCGAATTTTAGACGCAAACTTCTTCTTTGATTCCTTATCTATATACGTATAAAGAAGGAAAAGATACAAATTTCACTAAGATTTTCAACAAATTTTTACTATTCACGGTTCTAGTACGTACTGTTGCTATTCTCACTATTGATTTTTCTTGCAGATCTCCTACCAGGAAAAGTGTAATATAAGATAGCCACTTTAATATGCTATCAAAGATCAAGGTCTCATCTTAAACTATCTTCCTTCATAAAGAGGAATTATAATCTAAGCGAATTTTACTAACTTTCCTTTCGGTGTAGATACTGGAGATAGAGTTGGCAAACTTGACTGCGTTGAACTAACTTCAGAAGTGGGTGGACTAAGCCTGTCATTACTACTGTCATCATGCATAATTTCATTTCTAATCATCTTGATTTGAGATTCAGCCTATGTTTGAACCAAGTTGTATCATTTTTAACTTAGTGACAGAACAGCAGCTGTAGCAATACAGAAGTCACATTACCTACTAGTAAATATAATATTAACTAATCGAATATCAAATACTGTAAAAAACAGTATATTAACGTCGGTCACAAAGATTTTATACACATGAATAATTAACGTTTAGTGAATTTTATCAAGAATTAAAAGCTACAAATGTCAATACCTCCGATACTGGAATGCCACAAGATAGCTTTTTCTTTTTGTACCATGTCGCTTTGAATTCGTCTAATTTTACACCATTATATTTTACCTAAAAAGTTTGAATAGCATTTAAGTAACTTGACAATCGATTTCATACTTACGCGTATACGCGTATGTTATATAAGTATGTCAATAGTTATTTATGGCGCACATTCTGATCCAATATAAAGTGAGTGCACAATTTATTACGATGCTAAGCAAAGTCGTGCGGCACTTACAGAAGCCCAACCGCAGCCCGATTTTTTTGCAGGATTTACTAAACGTTTGCAATGAATAGCCCAGGCTGAAGGAGAATTAAATATATCTTCAGTTGTCGAAGATTGAATTTTTCCATTGGGCAACAGGTCACCATAAAATGTCTTTTTCTGAAGCAATCAAAAATGATGTTGATGTTAATCAATCAGTCAATTAAACGGAATCAATCTTACAATACAGTACTATGCTAAGCTACGTTGTTGTACATTATCCTGGATGCAAAGTATTACCAAATATTCAAGTGAAAGACATTTCTTTCGAGGCTTCAAGATACCATCTTTAATCAATACAGCAATACTAACACCACGACCAGCTGCATTATATGGCAATTTATTGGAGTTTTTAGTATTCGTAGATGCAGACTTGCGCACCTTTATAAGGTTAGTTTCCATCATTTCCTCCTGATCCTTTGATGAAGTGACTTCACTATTGGTAACATCATCACTACTTGAAGATGTTTCGTCGACTGAAGTAAAAGCAAACGTAGAATAAATTCTCCTTATTTAAGCTTTTATCTTACAACAGCACGTATTCAAAATAAAAATGCTGCTTTAAATGCATAACGATCTAACACTTATGTCATACCGTCCATCTGTTCATCGCTAATTGCTAACAATTTATCGCTTGATCCGGAATCAGATTCTGACATATCGATTATTTATAGCAGTGTTACGTTCACCTGAAATATTCTACCTGCTAGGTATAGCATAATCAACAATCAACAAGATAAGTATGACACCAGCACTTATAACATTAGCACATAGTACCTTACAGTATACCGTTACGATCGTTGATGAGAGCTGGACTATTGATAATTAAAAAGCAAAGAAGCTTTTTTGAGAGCATGTGCAATACTAATAAATATTTACTTGATAGTATGCAGTTGCAAACGTCGTCGAAAAGCTACCCTATACTGATATCAAAAGTGCGAGTATAATACTACAAATCACTAGGCCGGCTAAATTAACGTATGGTTGATTGTTTTTACTTGTACGTTACAGAAAAAGCTTTGTAATAGATTTCATGAGTATACATGTAGAGATGTGTATTTCAGTTTGACATTATTGCAGCAGCAAGACTGCAATTTCAATTGATTTAAGAAGAATAAAATAATCCCATTTTACATTTTGTAGGTATAAAATAATGAGCATAGAAATTGAAATGATACGTATCTCTAGCTGTGTTCAAGGCAAATAAATACACTAGCACTACTACACAAGTGTAGATCAATTTTTGGTGATTTCGGTGTGCTATCTGACAAAACATTCCTAATGTGGTGCAAAGTCAAGCCACCGATTGCTAGAAACATCCGTGAATCTGGTAATCTGCGATGAAGCTCTAGGCGTGCTGCAAGCAATCAGTTCTTAGGTACTCTCTATCAGGAACTTATTTAACATGATCAATCTATACGCTATGAATGAACATACGGATACGCGTGGTGCACCATTTATATGGTCTGACAAGAAATGGCGTATATACGTATATGTATTACGTTATCTAATCATTTATATAGCCATTAATAGGCAACAAGTCACAGGTAATCTGATAGCAATAGTCATGGTTGCTAGTAGCAAGGTACTAATTATACAGTAGCCGTAGTGGTGCGTGGATGTCGATGAGTAACAAGTTCTCTTACTGAATTCTATTGCATCTATTATTATAGGATAATCAATTCTTGCTAGAATAATTTCTTTCTAGCTAGAGCATTGAAGTTTTGACTTGATCTGAACATTGTCCTCCTCTTTAGCATTTTATTCATTTCAAATCGATTTACGTACGACAGCTGATAATGCTACATCAACGTATTCCAATTCTCATCAGGTAACCATTTTTACAGTACTATACAGTGATGGCAAAAGATAGTAACCAATTTTATGCACTTTGAATGAGTGCAGCCAAGGACGGTGTAACCAGCACCTACTCCTACTGTATAACCAAAGAGATAAAGTAAGGCAATTTAGGGGTATTTTGCTCCTTAGGCATTGTCAATCAATGAAAAGATACGCGTATTCATTTCTACATGGAGATTGAACTTTAAAAGGTAGGCTACCGATTCTATTTGCATTTGGATAAAAGGATAAAACATAAGTTGCAATATTCTCGTCAGAATGGATGAGTGATGTCGAGTAGGTGGTATCAATGACAACGACTGCTTGAATTCAAAGGCTCAAGCTTCAATGGCGTTTGTTATTGAAAAGGTGAGCAATAGATCGATGCCACTGTACCGTACTAAATAAGAGAAATGGATAGAGCGTGTGCCTCTCGTACTATGAAGGAGAGTTGATACTTGGCGATGATCGTCCTTCTCTCTACATTGGTACGGTCCAATTTCTCCAACACTAAGAAAGGATTCCATATTCAGCTAATGTATGTAGTATGTTGATGGAATTGTTGATCATTTTACTTTTCTACTCAGTGGAATGTCCATGGAATTGTTGATCATTCTACTTTTCTAGTCAATTTATTCCAATCTGACTGAGAAAGATTGCTTTTTTAGCTAATGTATGTACTGTAGTATGTTGATGGAATTGTTCATCATTTTACTTTTCTACTCAATAGTATGTCGATGGAATTGTTGATCATTCTACTTTTCTAGTTAATCCATTACAATATGAACATTGAATTTTTATCTCCGATACACAGGACAACAATCTCTCTCGTCTATGTAAGTAGCCTGTACAAGAAATGGGTTAACACTCGACTGACTGCTAATGACTTGTAAAACTCAAGCGGTCAATGAAAGAAATTCAACCGTCCTCGACTTGGTACTAGCGTAATCGTTGCTTGTGGAGATTCAATCATTTTTCCTTTTGCAATGATGGATAAAATGTATGCTAGCTTATCTATCCATTTCAATTGCATTCAATTGCCTTTCTACGTACCGTTATTTCCTTTCCTTTGGCGCGGCTAACAGGCAAGATGGTGCCTAACGGAATGGTCATCCAACAACACTAAACTAGACTAAAAGTCTTTTCCACATACTACAAGGTTTTGTATTACTTGTCAGACTCACTGGGTAGAAGAGAATTGAAATCGGTGAAATGCCTCTGTCCAATGGATCGTGCGCGTATGAATGATTTCATAGCTATTGTTTTCTTTCACTCACACCAGCAATCTTTCTGCTGTCTATACTAGAGCCTCACTAGAGGGTCTCTAGTGAGGGTCTCTAGTATTCACTGACAGTGAGTGATGAGTGCCGTGGCTGACAGCGTCAACTTTTCATCGAGTCGACTCAGTGTCCTACTGTACTGTACCAACTACTCTGCCTCAAAGAAACAGCGTAATAGTACTGTACACTGTAGCTTGTAGTCGCCGCCATTGAATATACAGTACTGTATCTCTACTACTGTACTGTACTGTACAGTACAAGTGTTGGTCGCCAGCCTTGTCCTACTGTACACCAATACTCTATACTGTACTCGAGAAGACCAGTATCAGTATCTATTGACTAAGGCAGTCTTTGTTTCCATTGTTCGTTTTCGCGGCAATCTCTTCTTGACCTGCGTAGTACACCACTCACACCAGCAATCTTTCTACTGTATTCACTAAGAATGAGTGATGAGTGCTGACTGGCTGAAAGGTACGGTGGCTCACAGTGTACAGTACCGTACTGCGAATTACGCTGCCTCAAAGAAACAGCATTACACTCAGGTCTAATTACAGTACTGTACACTGTAGCTTGTAGTCGCCGCCATTGACTGTACTGTACTGTACAGTACAGTATCTCTACCACAAGTGTTGGTCGCCAGCCTTGTCCTACTGTACACCAATACTCTATACTGTAGTCAGAGACCAGTATCAGTATCTATTGACTAAGGCAGTCTTTGTTTCCATTGTTCGTTTTCGAGGCAATCTCTTCTTGACCTGCGTAGTACACCACTCACACCAGCAATCTTTCTACTGTATTCACTGAGAGTGAGTAATGAGTGCTGACTGGCTGAAAGGCACAGCAGCGTCAACATTTCATCGAGTCGACTCAGTGTCCTACTGTACTGCGAACTACTGTACAGTACTGTACTCTGCCTCAAAGAAACAGCGTTACAGTACTGTACACTGTAGCTTGTAGTCCCCGCGATTGACTGTACTGTACTGTACAGTACTGTACTGTATCTAGAGTCTGTATCTCTACCACAAGTGTTGGTCGCCAGCTTTGTCCTAGTGTACAGTACACCAATACTCTATACAGTCTATACCGGACTCAGAGACCAGTATCAGTATATTGACTAACGCAGCCTTTTGTTTCCATTGTTCGTTTTCGCGGCAATCTCTTCATGACCTGCGTAGTACAGTACAACAGCTGTGACTTTGAAAAATGATTGTTTTGGTCAACGCTGAATTGAAGTAGAAAAAAATGAATAACAAATAGCGCACATTTGAAAATAATTTCTTTAGCCAATCTTCCTTTTCAGTCAAAAATGAATAAGAATGATTTATAAATCACTGCATCAACATTATACGTAATATCATGCTGTCCTCTGTACAGTAGTGTATATGATATATACTCGTATCTCTCATCAATTCTGCATTTCATTATAGCAAACATATTGTCCATGTTCCGCTGATACTTGGTCAATCAGCATGGAAATGATCGAAGCCAACACACTGGTGTTATGTACAATAGCGATGCAAAAGTTGGTATACAGTATGTAGTCCGAACTGTCCATCAATTGGTCGCGGTAATGCTGGCCATAATTTCAAAAGTTAAAGTCTACAGTTTACCCTAGCCAATGGATAATTTACAATCGATCATGTATTGTACTTTCTGTACCTTATTGTACCATGAAGAATTCATCAAGCCTTCAAGAGAACATTCTCTGTGTACTGTATAGCACTACGTTCTCTAAACATCAAATGGATCAAAAATACGACATTTTTCACTTAGCCTAGATGCATGGTTTACGTAGAAATTACAAAAAGTCAACAACGAGAAAGAGATCACTCGCAATTATGATTATCTGAGCTGTACAAATTACATCTTTTATTAACTTAATTCTGACAAGAGAATCAATAAGAAAATATTAGGAGCAGTCATTAAGTAATAAAAGATTTTTTCAATTTACACCTCTCTAGCTAGTGATTATGTTTCACTTCCGATTGCGAACGCCTTTTTGCATTGAGTTCGTCATCAAAGAACAGCTCACACATTTTTTCAAGGAATTCCTGCTTTTTCATTGTATCCATTTTATGACTTGCCATTTCATTGTAAACCTGAAGTTTAGAAAAATTTCCAGTCGTATCAGTAAAGTCGAATGTCGCAGCCCGGCCAGCACAAGCAAAACATCTTGTCCAATTCCAATATATACGTCACTGCATGTGACTTAAATTAATTTACAATTTGATTCAATGACACCTAACCTCATTTACAGTTTCCGTTATGGCACCAGTACTTAATAATTGAACACTCTCAATCAAGCTTCAAGAGTAAAAAAAATTAGGGAGTTACTTTCAATCCAATGAATAACAAACAAACGGGATTTCCTTTAATTAATAATTGTAATACTCATTTCTTACATAAGATACAATAAACGTATTAAAATCTATAAAGTGTTACTCACCTTTTCGAATTAATTATCAATTGGTTCGCTGCCTGCAATCGGTATAGCAGCCGATAATATAACTCACATGTAATTTCTCCTATATAGAGAGAGAGAGAAAACCATACGTTATCATTGCAAATGATACATAAATACACTTACAGCATAGTTAATTACTTTTATCCACAACAGCATTATAGCAAATTAACTGTCTATGAGTAAATAGTTATTGTTTTGCACAAATCAAGTAAGGACTTTCAAGCTGTTACCTTTCTCATTGACATCTAGACTTTCATACAGTACCACTGCTTCTGAATAAAAATCTAACTCAAAAAATAGAATGAGTGTATAAATTAGCCTATATACAATAACGTTACACTGTAAAATATCTAGACTACCCTCACCACTTTATAGAAGAAAATTCACAGATTACAAAAATATTGAGGTGTACAGTATAGGTGCTGCATACTATACCTATGAATAAAAGGCTGTCGCGGATACCCCAGTAGAAAACATCAAAGATAACGGAAGACTCATCGTCTACTTCTAGGTGACTTAGTAATTGACGTTGGATAGAACTATTTAAATCCCTGAAAAAGATAATTCAACAGGCTATCAACATTATTTCAATACTATCTATCAATCCAGCCAGTCTAAGAAAGACGTTATTTTAAATATCAATAGCAAATATATCACAAGTATATATTAGTGAAACTTATTCATGGTAAACGAACTTAACAAAAAATATTCGTATACGTTAAATGTAGGTGTTTACAATAAATTTTCAATGGAACATCAAGGTTATGATGATTTTCAATAGATACAGTGATATACATTACCTGGTAATTAAGTTAAGTAATTCGTTATAAATTTTTCCAGTTATACTAGTACCTAGTAAGTTGTTTAAACGAAAAACTACACTTAGGCCCAATATCGATCATATAAATAACAAATATACACAACATTTTCTAGTACTATACAGAAGTACTAATACCAATAGTTCAGATATTACAGTAGTATACTCAATCGATTTACTTCGCAGTAATTACTTACATAAGGCTAATACCGTACTCACTTGAATCGTCGCTAGCTAGTTGTATGAATGTTTTCTTAACATGTCGCAGAAAGGTAGGTCTTGAGTGATGAACAAGCATCAGATTCTGATATGCTGTACTGATATCTGCATTTTCTGTACAAGCATTGCGAAAGCTATAATTGATTGAAAGAAATTGACATAATTTAAGACAAGGGCTTGCGATCGCACATTCAATGATATACCTTCGATGTTTGCGCGCGTTTTATAACTATTCTTCAAGTAGAAAGACGATGCAACTGTACTACGATACATTTACCATATAAATCTCTAAATCGAATAAAGACTTTGTCCTATACATCTATAGTTATAAACTTAGGCTTATAGCCGAAAAAAATGTAATATATGGGGAGTCTACATGCATGGCCAAATTAGCCCTTCTTGGCAGTTTTTGGCAATACTACCATCACTACTACTATAGGCAGGCTCTTCATAAGCGACTATACTAAACATATGTCTCTCATTTAACTAAATTTAACTAATTAAGACAAAGATCAAAACTTTATTGATTACGAATAGCGAGGTAATTTTTAACCAAACTACATCATATATATAATATATATATATAATTATTAACTACATAAGTACATATTATAAATATTCAATTATCTATTTGAAAATTGATGAAAGATGGATATACATGTTCTTAGTATATACTAAATTCACTTATGCAATACAAGCAACATTACAGCTATTGACTAAAATAATCTCGAAATACGTATATCAATTTAACTAGTATTACTCAAGACTGGATAGCGGATACTAATAATTACCGTTGGTGCTCGTTGAATAACTCTATTATAATATTGAAGTTGCATCTATCCTTGTACAAGATAGTAATTAATTCATAATATCAATTCATGTTGTAAGGGGCACGAATGACACTCTATCTAATCTACTACGACTTACAATTGGCTTAAAAAATAAATAGGATCATCAGGTTTATTTTCCAGGACAAGGAGTAGGGCGCTTTGTAAATTACTAGCAACGCCAGCTCGATCTGTAAGATATTAAGTGAAATATACAGTATATAAAATGATCATTGCAGCTAAACTGAAACTAACTGACTGTGCACATTCGTCCTGTAAAAATTGCAATTACTGTATGTGTATAATGCATCCATAATCATACGCGTAGATTTGATAGCACTCACCCAGATATTCATTAAGTCGGACGCGAGGCCTTAGGTATTGATCACCCATGGTTGAAGATAAAACCTATTTCTAGTAATATATTTATATTTTTAAACCAACAATACATGACTCACTACTGCTAGAGTAGTGTAGTCTATACCGCATAAGCTTAGACTATTGAATTATTATAATAATGTATTATTAATTCTATACACTGTTGCAATATTTTGCAATTTGTTTGAGTTACATTTCAGTAGATAATCCTTATTCGCATTGGACGAATTGAATGAAATTAAATTGTTATACAATCTAATAGCGAAATCACATGTAGGACAATCAAGTTTTTAGCATGGAACACACTACAATTCTAAAATATCGAATCATATCGATGCGATTGTAAGTATGTTATGCTGTTGGTACCGGATTCTAACTGTCTATTAACTTCAAATTGGACAATATTCCATGGAATTTTCACGGGTTTAGCTAGTTCTTCTTCTTCTTCTTCTTCTTTATTATTATTATGATTATGAACAAATATCAATATTTATATCCCTTTGAAGTCAATCCAGTATCCAGGCTTACTATAAGTAGGTAATCCTTTTATGCATTCGATGAATTCAACGAAATTGAATAGCTATACTGTATAATAGCCAAATTTATAAGTACTCGTATACAGCATAGCCATTTTTCCTAGCTTGGTTCATCCATCAATCCGAACCTACTGAGTAGGAGCCTGTCAGGAATAGCGAAGAAGACTTGCAGTATCAGCACAGTCAATTATAGTAGTTAGTACTACATGTAATCTACAGTATGATACAGTATAGTACTGTACAGCTCGGATTCGATCACTATACAAGTACTCTAACTGGACACGAGCTTAAAGTATTTTAACTGAACTTGTTGTCTATTTCCCAGTTGATTTGTCAAGAATGCATGCGATCCAGACGTACAGACAACAAGACTACCTCATTGTTGGTACCAGCGCGCTCGGTCCAGCGGGGCGACACCGTTTTACTAGTTACTACGGCCACCGGGGTGATGTCCCAACGTATTATAGCGCTTGGACCTGCTAAACTACCAAGATGGCGCGTTGGACAGCTCCCATGCACTTTCGTCTCTAGTCATTAATCCAACGTGACGGCTTGCAAATCCTTGTATCTACCCAAATTTTCTCAAGCTAACGAATGAATGAATAAACTTGATAATGGAGAGAGGAAGATCAGGAAGAATTGATGGGTAATTTGGTTGTAGAATATGAACTATTCAATTTTTGCAATACTTCTTTATTCACTCTTGAAATATCGATGCTAATCTAGTCAGTAGTCATTAAAAGGGCGATGATAACCGATACCCTACCTCATCAGTACGACTTTTAATATTCACTGTGCTTTTTTATGCTACACCAGAGCGAGTAGATTGTTAGCATGTTAGTAGAGATTATCAATCCTCCTTGTTACCGTAAAGTATTCATTGCATAGGACACATATACTAGGCGTACCAATTAATTGTGCACTTTGTTGTCCTCTACAAGTCGAACTAGTTGTATGACAACGAGTGGAAAACATAGAGGGTATCGCAGGATGTTGCCAATAGTAGATAGTTGAATATACCATAGTAGGATATAATTCCTGTGCAAACTGCGAAATGAAATACGATAAAATGCATCAAGCTACAAAATCTGTCAAAAAGTGAACTCACTTCGTAACCGGTATAGCCATACTCCTCAAAAATCCAATTTCAAGCCGTAAATACCACTACAGAACACACTACTGTATTAGCATAGCCATCATAATATCCGATTCTTTACTCAAGTTATAATCCGTATATATGCTACCTTAATCGATTCAATCTATTCTACATGAAATAAAGAAACTTCTTATCTGATTGTACTCATACTAAACTACAACAGTGAACCAATTCTTTCCTAAAAAGAATATTTTGATGGAGACAAGTATCTTGTAAACAGTAGGAAGTAATTCAGACTCAATCTACCTGGCCAATACAATATTGCCGTACAACATGGACTACACAGTTATTGCTTAAGAACTGTGAAATAACGTAGAAATGAAAGCCTAAAGAAACGTGTGAACCCACTGAAAATGCATCAGCAACTATTACATTTCTTTACTCTTAAAAATCGACTGAAGTTGATTTCTTATTGCTTCTGCTTGCAGTGAACAAAATACTCAACTTTTGTTTATTTCGTTATATTCTGTTAATAGGTATCACGATTCACGCCATCAAGATTCTCATAGGGTAAGTAAGTTAAAGTAAATTTTAGACAGCCTTTTCTATCCTATTAGACAATCTGTACAATATTTGGTATCGTAATGAAACTATCAAATTGTACTGTTACTATACACGTACTACTATCAAGTAAGAGATTGATCAGTCAATCAATCTACCCTCAGCTTAAACATTCTATGATCAATAACAGTTGCTTCAGATGAACTAGACTACACAATATGCTAAAGAAAGTAAAAAGGATATTTGCTATCAATAGTAATTGAAAGAATAATGCGTTACTAGCAAGTCTAGCATAGTATTAGGCCAATCACAATTAATAAAACGATTGATTACACCTAAAAGAAGCTATCTTTAGCAAGGGTGTATCATAGTGAGGAAGGAAAATACCGAACAGTTTAATAACCGCTTGCGATTCATAAATATTACTACTATTATGCTATCGGCTTGCAATTATTGTGAATTCTATCATAAATAAAAACTAGAAAGAAATCGTTCATCTATGTAGCCTTTAAAAGCTACATTCTATTTTAAATTATTTGTCACTAACGTAGACATTTTTATTTCCCTTTTTCCTTATAGATTCGTGGTAATCATTACGCAATTGTGCTTACTTATTGTTTTAGATCAAAATACTATACTGTCACGATAGTATATTAGTTTTTCGACTACGGTAGTGGAAGATAAAATGGATTAAACTATGTATCAGAATGCTGTATGAAGGTCTAGCATACAATTTCTGCAGCCAATATTAGGAATATGACTGATTAACCTGTAATCATTTACTCTACTCATTTATAACAATCTGGACTGCATCTACAAAGCATCTTCTGGTCACTCACCAGTAAACAAACGTGATCGCTCTCCAAGGTACTCGAGTCATCATCATCGCCACCATTCTAGATCTTACCATACTAGTCAACGACATCGAGGTAATTAATGGTACTTAATTCCGGTTAGATAGTTATAAGCTCTTAACTGCTATAAATATTATATCTACTAACAAAAACTTGAAAGACGATAATGTTAACTTGGTTTTTGTATTTTAAATACGAGTACTTGCTAAAATTCTGTATCACTAAACTCGAAAATAATGGAAACATACGATGACTTTTGTCCATTAGACATTGCAAACGAAATAATGCGAAATTTTTATGATATTTACATCAATATTTTTTAATATACCTGTGCACTACTGTATAATACGCAAGAAATAAATACGTTCGAGTTCAGTATACGATTCATTATGTCATCAAACCTTTTATACAACTAATTGGTCTACTTTTACCCTCCACAGAAGCTGATTCTACATCGCAATCCTCGAAATACCATCAAACACAGCATACTGAGTCCAGTAATCGAACATCTAGTACTCATGCCGGCCATTCTTCAGATATAATTGCTTCTCATAGCAAAAAAACAGTAAGAGTAAGTCCTGAATTAGAATTAACCTACTGCTTTTGCTTATATATGTATATATACAATAAAAGATTGCGCCAAGGTTAATTATAGGTGTAACTTCAAAGCAGCAATTATAACACCGAGCTACTGCATTATCAGCTTCTTAACTAATCAATATATACTATCGATATAATAAAGTCTAAAGGAGATTGGTCAGAACATATGAGCTCTTCAGGCAGAAAGTATTACTATAACTGTAAAACAGAAGTATCGAAATGGGAAAAGCCAAAGGACTGGATTGAAGATGACCCAAAGTACTGATTACTAGCAATATATTGTTCTAACAATTGAAACGAATGTCTTGCACTAATATGGTATTTCTGTTTTTCAATTACTTCTATACCACTAATTACTCCAAGATCGAGTCGGTTAAATACTGATTCAGAAAGACGAAAAGGTAGCATTATTATTATCAATATCATCTACGAACATTAAAATCAATAATTTTCTCACATATACAGTACCATATTAAGAAAATTTTCACAGCATTATCGGTAACATTGCCATGTAATATGTTCCAATTTTTTTATCTTCCTCTAAAGACACTTCTAGCCACCATTCTACTGGATTTAATCATACTACATCTAAAAACGGTTCTACTGATCCGCAATTAAGCTCTAGTTCCAAACTCCCTAATACTGACGAGTATCCAGTAAAGAAAAATTACATGAGTGATCATTCAGCGCCAGATTTCAAGTACTGCAATACACATCGTCATATTTCTCTATCCTTTAAATGTTCATTATGGTAAAAATTGGTAGTGAAATATTTATATTGGATCTCCTATCCTTTTATTTCAGCGAACCTCACCATAAACAGAGCACTATCCACGAATTAGTTTCCCCTGAAGAAGATGATGACGGATTTAATACGGAAGTATCAATACAAAATAAGGGTATTACAAAAGATTGATCATACAACATTCCTTGACTAACATAGTAACTTAAAGATTTCTGACAACATTAGATCTCAAAATTCTAATAACTAATATCTACGTTTGTTTTAAACTATTCAAAGAAGATCATGATAGCAGAGCATCGATTCAGTCTCCCTCACAGTCTGTACGTAATTTCTCTCAAATTCTGAAAATATTTAAAGAAATACTCATAGCCCATTCCTTGAAGTAATTAGAATCATTAACTTGATCATTTTTCTTGTTTCTATTATATTTATTTATTGATTATGAAATGAATAATTAGCGACGAAAGTCTCAAGGCATCCTTTTGGAGTCAGGTTTGTATCGAAAAGGCTACATCCTAAACATTAACATGCTCTTTTCAGATGTAATCACATAAATTTTGATATATGATTTTTAAATGTGCTTATGTTTTATTTTCTCAAAGAGCGGACCGGAAACTCTTCCATGAATAGTTCTCCCAAGGACATTAATGCGATAGTTAAAAATTCTTTACGGCTAAAATCGAATTCCTCTAATTTTTCTTTAAAAACCGATACTATAAATCTTCCACCATCGTTAGGAACAAAACAATATAAAACAATAATTACTTCCTTAGAAGTAGATATACCATTAATTAATCACACTATACAACCACCACCGACAACAGTCAATGAAGAATCGAGGCATTCGCGTAATGCTAATCCAGAAGGTGGCATTTACTACAACCAGGTTTAGTTACTATATTCCATATCTGATTTAACAGTTCTATAATTTCCGCTACTGAACTTTTGCTTATTAAATTAGGCTGAACATATTGCAAATGATATGCTTTCCCGGTCATGCAGCGATGCTATTAAATCGAAATTTGAGATCTTTCACGCCAGAACTTATTTAAATATTGCTAGATATAAAGTTGAATGTCATGATCTCAGGTCAGTTCATACTTCGAAAGAAGTATTACTGTTATAGGCTTTGAATTACGCTGTGCTCGACTTAGTTTAAAAATCTAATATCGGCACAATCATGATAACTGTATGAAGTGTTGGACCTATGCAAACAAATTTCTTGCTGTTTACTATTAAAAAGTCACACCTACTTATTTTTTATTTACTATTTTAAAAGACTCCAAGTTTTACTTCGTTCACATACGCAAGATGACCCCACGGTAATAGAATCTTCGAAAGTATAATGGACTGATTGTACAAAGCTATTGTAATTATTTACACATGGCATTGCATTTTCTTAACAATTAACATAAAGCAAACTGCAATACCTTGTTAACAGCAATTATTTTACAAATACATTCGAATTAATTTACTTCCATCGATGTCTCACCTAGGAATCTTTACTACATCAATGATTTACTAATTTTATAAATAATGATATGGATACTATCATTACGTAATAAAAAGGTTTTCTTCATTTTCCAATACGTGCATGTTTTATTTTTTACCTTTATTGAATGTAATTACTTTGCTATAATCAAACCAGATATACTGTACGACTACCGCAGACATCATTTTATGACGTAAAGCATAACTTATACTAATAGATACACAATATCGAATCAAGCCACGAATTCTTAGCTGCAAATTGATAATACTGGTAACCTTCGACAGACTTACATATACCATAAAAGGAGAAACTTAAGTTTACTTCAACAGTATTCCATTAATGATTGTCGTTTACTCGCCTAGATCTATCATTTAATCAGTGTTGATAAGATTACAACCAGGACTAGGACTGAAATCTGATTAACTACTAAATACATAAAGTCATTGTCGGTTTGTTTCACGTGATATACGTATAACTTCTGCCATGAATATCATAAACTTACAACCGGCATCGTAATAATTCAGACAATCTGAAGTAAAACGATATTAATATATACGCTCACCTTTTCTAAAGACGATGTATTTGCATCTACTAAACATAAACTAATTTTGCTGTAGTTTTACTAACTTCATAAGAGTTCAGAAACGACGTACAAAACGTTTATAACGGAATGTACCACCTTAAGTGATCAACGCGGATAATTATCGAGTCAATGCACTTCCTTTTTCTTGATCGTAGTCACTTCATACATAAGTTTGGAGACTAGGGAGTACTCTCGTAAATATCATGATTTTCTTCCCCAAGTCCTCAAGAATGTAGCCGGTGATTACCTTTCAAGCATCATGCATTCAGGCAATCAATACGAGCATAGTTCAACTAATAGTTTGCCTTAGTGGGATTAAGAGATGAATTTTTATTGATATAATATAGCTACATTAATTTCATTCGCTTGCACAAAACCGACCTTGTGTGTTTAATTGCATTCAACTTACCTAATCAACATGCAGATATATTTTTAAATAAATCCATGTAACGTGTAAGATCAGTAATTTAAAAAGCTCTCGAAGGAACGTAAAAAGTACTTCCATGCGAATAACTTAATGTCACAGTAAACTTTCCTCATTAGAACGATATGTATATATACATATATATATATATAATCAACCCGTTTATTTGTAACTTGAAACGCGCTTAGTAAGATAGTGTCCTAAGTTCGCACGAAGCTTACAGTAAACAATAATTACTGGCAAAGTGTTAAAATAAAACTGATAAATTTATTACCCGCGACTTTATTTCAATTGTTTAAAACCACTTAAACACCACCCGTAATACACAGAACTCAGCGAAATCCTGCTATTTTTATCAGGTAGTTATTATTAAGCTTTGGGCACATTACTCCAACTCTAGACGATAGCCCTACTAATACATTCTGTTAAGTAGTTAAATCCATAATGAAGTGTAAAATAATCGCCGTAAAGAAGTTACTGACTATAACTAAAGCATACAAAGTAACTATAATAATTATATTTATCTTACTACGCATGATAAAGATCAAACAAGCAGCCCCGAGGTTAGCAACTGAATCGTGACTATTTCTAGCTCTACAATAAATACACATCATTATGCAAAATTTTAACACGCTTCAATTTAGTTTTAATAAACCCAAGATGTGGGAACCCAAGAACTTTCATTTTGCAAACGCTCGATGATTTCTTTCAACTTTTCGTAAGTTTCATTAGGATCCAGATTCAAAATAGTTTCATCAATGTAAGAGCCGTACATTTGTTCCATGATATCTGATTCCTCTTTCATCTTCTGAAAATCAGCATACTACGAAATACATGTTATAATTCCTATCAGAATCAACAAGACCTAAAATAACTCAAATTTAACAGTCGTATTTTATTTAACTTACTCTCTTCGTAGAATCTTCATGGCGCTTTTCAAGAATTTCAGCCGACGGTGAAGCAATGAAGACGACATAGGCTTTAAAATTACTTGACTTCAAAGCTTTAATTGCCTACAGTGTCAAAAAACGTTCATTTTTATCCTAGTTGCAACTAACAAACTACTGTAGCTTTTCATAATTATATCGAAATCAGCCAATGTTGTTGTATTACCTCAGGTATCAAATCCAAGACTACCATCTTTCCGGAGTTCATGACGTCTTTGACCGTTGATGCTCTAGTTCCGTAGTAATTATTTTGATAACGTCCCCATTCAAGAAATTGGTTGTCCTTTAGCTTACGCCGGAAGTGCTTCTCTGCAACGAAGTGATAATCAACTCCATCTTCTTCTCCCGATTTAGCCGGTCGAGTCGTATCTAATCATTATTTAAGATAAACTATTAAGGAATTGATAGGTAATTATCTGAGATACGCACATTTCTTTACTTACAAGGAATAGCGATACCAAGCCTTTCGGGATCACTTTCTACAAGGCGTGTTTTTATGGTTCTTTTCCCAACTCCCTTAGCTCCTAAAAGTCGTTTATTAATTTAATGAGTCTTAACTACGTAAACACGTAACCAATATTTAATCAACTATTCCCTAACCGAGAAGATATAAACATTTATGAAATCCTGGCTTCACGCGCACAACTTCTTCATACGTCACAACACCATGTCGTTCAAAATCTATAAAAACAATCAGTTCAGACAGTTCGCACTACTATCTGCAAGTAAAAGGAATACGTAAATAACTTACCCATGTTATTTCTAACGACATACATGGTTTCCAACTTTCTGTCGAGTCCAGTTAAACGAGCTAGAAGAGCTACCAAGAAAATCGTACTATATTAAATATAATCTTTGCATCTCCTCTAATTTAAAATACATACAATTTGGGCGCTTAATGGCGCTGCCTGAATGCAAATGTGATTTCCTCCTTTACGAGATAAAAAATAAAATCACTGCCGGTTAACAAGTATGTAACTAAAATTGAAATAACAAGATTACTATACATATGCTATTAACCTTTCCTCAAACATGGGAGATGGGATGATACCAGTTCCTTTTTTCCCGGCAACTCTAGCCTGTGTAACATCGACTGCTATTAACGTTTTACCTAAACTATTTCTAGACAAGATCAATGTAATCATGTACCTGCCACCAGTTCTCGTCATCTAGGTTTACAATTTCCAAGATGTCACCTTTTTCGAACTCTAGTCCAGCATCCTTAGTCGGGATCTGGGGATCTTTTTCAGGATAGTAATTGAAATATGCTTTCAAGTTCGTCTGAAGTTTAGAATTAGCAAAATCAGTTTATTCTTAATACAACGCATAATTAGCTATAAAAAATAATTTACCTCGCAAATATTCATGCTTTCCTTATAAGATGGCGTGATTTTTAGTGTTACACTCCCAACAGCTCTTCGCTATTTTTAGGTATCAAATATACTGATTGTTACCCACGCAGTAGATTCAATGATTACTTCATGACACATGATTGATTATACATACAAGTTTATCTTGCAAGAATTCAGGACTAGTTACAGGCTGTCCATCTACTTCCTCGATACAATCACCAATGTGAAGAAGACCTTGAACATGAATCATGCTGTCATGCAAAATGCGAGCGACATAACAGTGTCCATTGCGACTACTGATGGTAATACCCTGAAACGTAAAAAGTGGCATAATTACCAATTTAATCCGAATACATAATGTGTACGCGAGTATAATGTACAATATACAGACTTAAAACTCTCTTTCGGCTATAGCAGTAGCCTAAACAAATGCAGAGACTATTAAACTCATACCAATGGTTGATCATCAAATTTCTGCAGTACAACAACGCGAACAGCCTCCGTTGTAGCGCTATTGATAGCTGGATCAAATGAATCAGGTTCATTTCTATACTTTCTGTTAGCAATTCTATCTAAAGCTTCAACCAATCTCTGTTGCGAATAAAGAACGTATTATTTTAACACTTAAAACATGTTCCAATCTTGTATTCAATTAATACAACACTTACCCTAAAATGAGGTTGTTTAAGCATGATATTCAATTCATTAGCAGTTTCACTTTCTTCCACATCTGGTTCTAGTTCCGAGAGAACCTAATAAAATACACCGCATACTGTTTGTTACGAATAACCTAGCAATGATAACCTGTTTCTCGGTTTCCCTATCAAATATTACAGCTATTTACATTATCGAATCTGTGCATAAATAAAAATAAATTTCACCTGCTGTAGAGTTTCAGTATTGTTTTTGTAATCCGTTTCTTCTTCTTGAGACTCTACATTATCATAAGCCTGTATTCAGAATCAGATGATGCAGTTAGAACAATTTTTGTATAGAGCCGCCGACGTATAATAATAACAAAAACATACTTTAGTCCGTAACGTTAATTTATAGCTCGCTATATTACGGCAGAGGTTTGATTAGGTGGAAGTAATAAAACCAAAATACATCACAATAACTGGTCTATACAATAATCCTGTGCTTATGATACTAACACATATTTTATAATGCAACAAAACTGTACACTACAAGCTATGCTGTGTTGCATTTGTGAATGGATGTTGTATGATACAGTACAGTAATGCATGCCGTTGTGCATTATTATGGAAAGAAATATTCTCAAATTAAAAGTATCGGGTAGCGGCTGATTACCTTGGCCATAGACCACTAGAAGAATACCCTAGGTTTTCTTCTAGTAGGCCATGCCTTGGCGAAGCAAATACTGTCAAATCTTTAATAAAGATTCACAGTTAGGTAGCAAAAGAAATGCATTTGTACTAAAAGGGTCAATACGCTCCATATTGTTGACTTCTAAATTATATCGAAATATGATGTACTTTAATCTCATAAGACAATAAAATGGCATCTTTTATAGCATTACATTGTCGGTTACATTCAATTACTAATCTTGAAATAGAAGGTTGAAGATAATTAGAAACAAAGACCATCATCGATTCAACCCAGAATAGTACGTAAAAATCCATGAAGTATAAAGTTCAATGAATACATCTCGAATTATATTCATGTCAGCAACTAGGACTGTTTTACTTATTCTCTATACTAATCACAACGACCAACATTAATGTTTAAGCAACACATGCTTACGTAACTACCACGATGAAATTATTTCTTTACAGCAGTAGCTAATAAAATATGATGATGAATTAGGTTTTGGATGTTAGTTCGACGGCATAATCAAATGTGTTAACTGAAATGTAGACTAGTCAGCTAGTCACGTTATCCAGAATAATGCATCATAATACACAGTAAACATTTCGGTCATAGATTAGTTATATTTCAATTTTAAATTGGCCATCTCGCAATGTAATCAATACTACTAGTAATCTTGTAGTCGATAGTATATGAATGTATTTCTGCAGCAGAAACAGTCTCCCATTTAGCATCAAAAATAGTACACTGTATATGACTACACAAACGATAAATAGTCCTAAATTTGTTGATTAATATGTAAAAATATAGCCATCACAGGACAAACTTACCGCCACTAGACTTTGAACGTTCTTCTGTTGCAGGAGTAAGCGCAGCGAAGCAACTTGCTCGTTGTCAGCTAGCTTCTCATCATCTAAGGACTCCAAAACGGTCTTCAGTGCATCTATACCAAAATTATTAACGGATATTTTACAGACTGCATCTACATCTCTACGTACATCTAAAGATTAACCATAGTTGTATTTAGTATAAAACTGTCAAAATACAGTAAATCGAATAACCATCTTTGAGCAGTCTATAGATTTACAGACCAAGCTAAAAAGCAACCTAGCAGCCGCTGTCAGGGACTACTAAAATAGTTGTCCCTGCAACTGTACAGTACCGTACAGTACAGTGCGAGATTTGGTTACAGTACATTGTATTGTAGGCGGCTATACTGTCTTTCAATCATGGCGAGGTTTTCTCGTTTCGAGCACGAGCACAACGTCGATTGGCAAGCTTCCCCAATTCCTTATTACTAGGCGTTATTATGTGCGGTACTGTACAATCAGCGTTCTACACTTTATAGTAATCAGTCGCAGAGATTTTGCATACAATGTCTCAGTTGGCAATTTAGCCAGCAAAGGCAATGGCCAGCGGTTAGTAGAAAAAGTTTTAATTAGAAATCTAAAGTATCTCAAAATTTATTTATAATACAATGCGGTAATACTAGAATTTGTATTCACCTAATAGGATTATTTGCTTTTACAGCGGTTGGTCTACAGTTATCAATTAGTAGGGGAAAAAAATTCGCGTCCTTGGGTTTTTGCTCTCTCTTTTTTTACCGTGCACCGTAGTAGAATAGTAGGACATAATCAGTCCAACAGCAGTGTACCTTGTGCACATTACGTTTAAATTGTGTACGTCGTACTACGAACACAATCGTCGAATTTCAAATTGAATACTCTGTAATTGCTTACAATTTTAAGATCTTTGAAATCTATTTTAGATACAACATAAACCTACATACTGTAAAGCAATTACACCCGTCACAACCATACGTATCAATATGAACGCTTCATTAATCCTAAAGCAAAATGTAGCTTTACGCTATGCAAGTAAGGTACACAACGATGGACACAGCATTCGCCTATCGTGCGCAATTTTATGTAGCCCATAAAGTAACTTTAGAGAAAGATAAGTTGCAGGAAACAGATAATTAATTATTCTTTCTCTTGAACAATCAAGTAAACTTAAGTAAAAATCAAGTTGTGTTCACGCAACAAATACTTTGCAGTTGTCATTGAGTATTTATCCCTTGTCAGCAATCACCGCCCTCCCTACGCAACGCTATACTAGATGCTAATAAAGCTCAATACGCGTAAAGCACAATTCAAATGTTAGAACAATTTTACCTTAAAAAGATTGTAAGATTTTAAATACAAAAAAACTGAAGATTAAACTAGTCAAGACTGCAGTGAAGAAAAAAAATATTTTATACATTACTGTAGCATAGTACAACGTATCTCAGCAAAAGTAATTTGTTTCCGTTAATAGATCACTTGTGAAATTTTAGGCAGCATTTTTTCCTCATTTCCCTTCGCTTTGATTCAGATCACAAAGTGAGAAAAATTAAGAGAGCATTTAGCAAACTCAACTCCGCATCTCCACGCCCTTAAATAACTGGCAGTACGGTAGCGTATTACTGTATTACTAAGCACATTCAATCAGGAAATATTTCGACATGCAGAATCACAAGCTATATAAACTCGTAGTCACGTCTCCACTTACTTTCCTAAAAGCTTACTAATTTGATTTACGATCCAGTATTTTCCACTATAACAACAATGCAAACAAATTTTGGCCACCAGAATTAAAAAACATTTCAAATTTGCGATTAGATTTTAAGTACAGTGCGATACGGTAGAGACAACGTGGACCGTGAGCTGATGAGATAGTTTACATTAATTATGAGCAAAATCATAACAATAATAAATAATTATCGACTATCTATCGAATAAAGAGTCTAAAGTCTTTGTATATCCTATACTCTGTTGTGAAGATTAATATTGGAGATATACAAATTGCTCATTGAGAACATAGTTAATCAATAATGCTCAGTAGATTTGGGATTTATGGTCCGATTAGTTAGACCGATTGTGAATATTTGAACGCGGTTAACGCATACAATACTGTACAGTACATAAATAGCATGAAGTAAAACGGTATTTATAGCCTAGCAGAATGTATCGCTAACGATGACAGGGTTCTATAAAATAAAATAGTATAGTATCAAGACACTTGGATGTGAACTATATAATTATTAACCACCCACAGGTAATGCGGCCCACTTGTGCATAATACATTACTGTAGTACGTTTTAAAGTAGGTCTGGTCATCTCGATTTCTATTATCGAGTGTACTGTACAATATACAGATTAGGTAAACTGTAATAACTAAACCATACTAAAAATTAAATAGTAGGGAAAAGAGGCTATAATCTGCTCACGGATCCTCGATTTATTAGCGAGGCAAAGCTGCGTAAATCGAATTTATAGTACTGAATTAGCGATAAAGCGTAAACGATAAACCTTAAGTGACAGACGGATATATAATCCTGATCATTCGCTTCACGGTTACTGATTATGATCAACACGCTGGAACGAAAATAGTGAGCGAAGCATAAGTTTTAATACTAAGTCACGGTATTATCTAGGAAAGACAATCGAGTGTAAGTATGCCGCACTAAAAGCGAAAACTTTGACTAGTCGTATGGCTCCAAGCGAACATCACAATCACGTAGACTGTACAGTAGCACATCACTTTGTATCCGCGCTATACTGTCATTTACTGAAGTTTTTCCGTTATATTGTGGTATTTGTACTTTAGATTGAATTCTCATATTATAATCTGCAACAATTGCTACTGCTTCTATCTCGAAGTTCAGAATCGGTTACATCGCAGTGATCCTCTACCATATCGATTTTCGGTACTGTCATGCCGTAGACTATAGAGTGCTTCAGCGCTATTTTAACTACAATCTAATACCAGACCGTAAAGAACAAAACCAGTAAATCCGGAAAACTAATCGCTTCATTTGGCGACGATTAAAGTTGCCCCCAAAATTGTGTAACCGTCGGATTAAAATCAAATTGTACTGTATTAGTAGCTTGGAGTCAATGCCTTGTACACTGCTGCAGTGACTGATTTTGTTTCAAATATTTTCAACGTAAAAAAAGTTGGCAAATGTCAAAAGCCACACGTGCGGAACTCATGCACGCAGGCAAAGGTTTCCGTTTGCACCTGGGTAGTTTGATTACAGTTTTTTGGCTGGCTTCATGAACTCGACGATATTGACTGGTCACCGTATACTAAAGTATTATAGCAATCGCTTTAAAACAGCACCCAACTCCAATACGGAACTGTACCGAACTTTTATTACACGTTCCACAATTCACTACAGTCCCACTACCGTACAGTACTGTAGTTCAATATTACTGTACTGTACAGCGTCCAATCCAGTGTAGTGGCGTGCCGTCAACGGAAAATAACGTATTTTAAATGATTCAGTAAGTAGTTTGTAAACTAGAAAGTAGTTGGGGAAAAAAAAAAAGCGTAAATCAACTATTGAAATTGTAGAATAGAGAAAAAAATTGGGAATTTTTTCTGTAACGAAAAGAGCGTGTTAATACACCCAAATGGAATATTGTACTATATTGGCATGCAGATCCCGCTAGGAGGTCGGAGTTGAAAGTTTTGCAACCTTTAACACGACGTAAAACAGCAGCACGGCTTATCGTACTGTACTATGGATAGCATGTGTACACTCGTACTGTCTAGTGTAATGTACAGGACGCACTACTACTGCAACACTAAGTAGACGAAGGCGAACTTCAGACACAAACAATGTATCAACCAGGGGGTTATCGTCCAAAATGGCATTGAAGTTTTAGCTTCAACATTATCCAACAAAATTTTGTAAAACTATCTAAAAATTACCTACTTTAAAAAATATTTTTCCCATTACTAAATAGACTTACCTTGGGCACTCATAGAACAATCTGCGCTTGGCATGTTGACTTGCGAACGCTCGAGGAAAAACACAGTCAAAGTTTGTCAAGTTTACAGGCTAGGATGTACAAACCCTACAACAAGCCAGTAAGTGAAAAGAAATGGTCGAGGAGTAAAATGGATATCTTCAAGACTTTTAGCGTGTGTGCAAATCAAACAACAATAGAAAGGATAGCGTACCGGATTACGTCAATAGTTAAACCTTGATCAATTGGCTAATGTAACTGCCACGTGGTTCTCAACGACCCGCAGTGGATTCGTTGTTTGATAATATAATCACTAAAATGTGCGCGCCTACTATCAGCGATTTGATTGGTTGGATCTCATTCCTGAAGTACTTTTCTTTATCTGGCAGAAATGCCTCGAACCAGTAATGTACTGAACAATCATCCAATAGTGTCACTGTACAGCGGAATATTGTGTACACAAGTACGCGGTCGTATCAGGTCGTGTTCACAGTGTTCATTCACACGTACGGCGTTGGTGCATTGTTTGGCCTACAGTCATCTAGGATACTGAGATCAGCAGTATTGTTCCAATCTGCGTTTTGTACGCTAGTAAAGAAAGGATAGAAAGCGAATAACTGATTCTTACCAACAACTACAGTACTGTACAGTGCAGGATTGTTCCTACGGCGGATGATTCATGCAAAGCGTCACGAATGGCGGCATACTGTACGCTGCATATTTTATCTTTCCTTTATTTGAATACGTACAGTACAGTACAGTACTGCCAACTAATTTGAATACTTTACGACGAACAGTGTGTCAATACGCTACAGTACAGTACAATGTACAGTACTGTACAGTACACTAGTGCTGAATATACTGTAGATCATAACGGTTGACCCGAACCGAACTATCTCAGGTCTACAATACAGTAGTGCTGATACTACAGTACAGTACCTTACAGTATGCAGTACAGTACAGTGTACTGTACAGTACTGTACGGTACGAGGATACGGCATCAACAAACTTCCGTTTCAAGATAGCGGACTTTACAGTAGACCGACGTAACGTTACTATTAATGAAAGAATGAAAGAAATTAAGAAGTTACCGTATGCCGCTGAATCATGTAATAGTTTTATTTGGCGAACTACAGTACCATCATAACATGATTTTCAGACATCAATCTATTTATTTGTTTATTAATGCTATAGAACTTTATTTTCCTTGATGTACCACTAGAGCACTACGGTGCCGGCTGTGCCCGCAAGCACCCGCAATCACGTACAGTACACAGTGCAGTCTAATGTACAGTACAGTACAGTACTACTGGTGTTGATACTGTACTAAGCTCAGCGGTTAATTACTGTAATTAGTAGTAAATTCCAATACTGTCTTTATTGTACTGTACAGGTACTGTACAGGATAGTAGCAACGGTACTAACCGAACCTTTTTCAGGTCAAAACTGTACTGTACAGTACAGTGTTGATAATTAATTAATGAATAAGCTGTCGTAGCTGGATTGTAAAAAAGTGGGTGTCGCGGATACGGCAGAAATGATTTGAGTGCTTTGGCCACTATGTAACATTGATCGAAAAACTAAATATTGCAGGAATCCTACTTCAGCACAAGACCACATAAGCAGCTAAGCCACTAAATCATGATTATATTTGCACTACTATGAATGAAAGTACAGCAGATGCCAGCTAAACATAGCCGAGAACAAAGAACTGCACGAAACTTAGGTTGGGGTATGGCCACAGAATTTTTTTCCAGGGGACGCTCACTTTTCAGAAATTAAAGAACCATACAGTACTGTATACAGTATTACGGTACAGTACAATAAAAAACTGTACTGTACAGTACAGTGCAGACCCACAATCTGATGGTTGATTCTACCGTACTGTACACGGTACCGTCACTCGTTAATAAGAATGACTTTGACGCACAACTGTACAGTACTATACTGTACAGTACAGTGTAACGTGAACAGTACTTTGACCCTACTCGCTAAATCGACTAATTTTACTGAAATTCTTACTGTTGTTCTCGATTTATTTTGCATCTTCATATAACGTTATCCAACTTGTCAACTCGAGTCCATCTACCGATCGTTCAATACTACTTTGGCATTTCGATATTGAATGCAATGAGAAATAGCTAAGACTGCATCCCACGGCGTATCTATATTGTATAGTAAAAACGCCTTAACATTTGTTCTATTTGAAAGACTCGACGACCATATTCACTACCTCATGCTGTTCATGGTACATCAATATGTTTAATTAATGCACAGTATTGAAACAACCTTTACAATAGAGCTATGTAGTACAGACTGTACGGTAGACATTGCATTGAATCTGTAATGGTTAGCGTCTGCGATATAGCGCAGTAGGGTTTGAACACGGTTAGGGGTCCCATTGGATTCTGGAAAATCTCGGGCACATGATCAATGTCCGACGATGATACGCATGCAATGGCTAGAAAAATAAATACGGTACAGTATGAAGATGAATCGGCACTACAGTAGTTAATACAGTATACTGAGAAAATTCTTAGAAGTCACTACTGTGCTATGCAAGTACAGTGCTGACTTGATCACCGTTGGCATAGTTGATGCCTTTACCAGTACAAATACAAGTCAGCATAGTCAAAATTTTAGGCAATCGTATGGAGGCCAACTGTTTTACTGATCAATTGAACTGTAGTGTACTGATCGATAAATGTACCATACTTGTTACCCGGTTGCTCTATCGGACTGACTGGGTATGGTTAGCGTTAAAATGCTAACCAATATAGAACATACATATATTATAATTAGATAATCATAATTTTATAATTAATGCAGTATACAAATTTCTACACTTTCTGGTCCATAAATCATAGTTGCTATTTGAATTTATTTTAGCAACACAATATACTGTGATAATAAAGATATCATTTTCTCTATGCAATCAGTCACGATCAACTTACAGTAGTCGATGCTGATATAGAACAGCGAACTTTAGAGTAAAATTGACGCTTAATTTGGGAGCTAAGCGTAGAACAACTAACCATTAAGTTAATTAAACCATTCCAAATTTGATATCAATCTTACATACATAATTAATTATAATGTTTGTTTCGATCTGTAGAAATAACACAGCCACTTTGATATAAATAAGGAGACGAAATAAATTGTGCTAGACTCCTGAAAATCACATATATTAACAATAATTTTGAATGAATATGAAATATCTCACAAAGTTGCAATTCTATAAAGCAAGTACTTTAGAATTTAACGGCCGTAATCGAAAGATTTAGAAAGGAATATAAATACAGTCAGAAAAAATCAACAATAATCTGAGGCCCTTAAATTCGGAATAATTATATAATTTGCCTACGTGATACAATCGAAGAATTATTTACTGAAATATAGTATCATTGCAAAACGTTCCCGCCATCCTGAATTCATCTTTTGTACAGGCACTATATAATCTTTGCGGAGTTGGCCTAGAAGATGATACCGGCCTACTTAGCTGGGTTCGTAAAATAAACTCCTGAGCCCATATTTCGCTTAAGCCTAGCTTCGACGAACTTAACTCTTGCTTGGCTACATGAGGTTCATTGAAAGTCTCCAAAGCAAACTAAAATAAATTTGTTAGTTAAAGTTTACGTTAATACGCATACAAATCAAATGTATCCTAAGTATATAAATAGACTATATGAAAACCTTCTTCGATGAAACAAACGCTTGATTTATGATCTTTCCTAATAGACCCTTTCCAGAGCCCTCGATTGTAACTTCAGGTTGATTCAAAAGATTACCAGCAAAGCCTTCCAGCTTCCCTAGACCATAATCTTCAACTTCGTAACATATAAATTTTGCAGCAAGAGACTGACGTGCTGAAATTATGCACTCTATGCTCTTGATATCTTTCAGCAAATCCTATTTTGTATAATGAAATAAATATAACCATTTTACCAAATAATAATTGAAAGCCGAAAAAAGCAATTACGTGCCTGATATAGGGGAATGATGTCAACTGTATGTTCTTTAACACTTAAACGACAGGCACGACTGACAATGCTGTCAATCATGGTATTTACATTTGGTAAGTTAGATAAATCTGTAATAAAACAAATAGTTGTAAGAGGGAAAGATTAAAAATACATCTCTAATCTATTTTATAAATTAGATTAAATATATCAGCAGGTATATATTGTACATATAGTTCATAGTAATACTCTACCTAAAGATTTAGCACGGAATATGGCAGCATGAACTACCACTGAAAGTAACTGCAGCGCTACTTCAGATGGTTTTAAATTATTAAGGTAGTGGAAAACCTAAACAATAGATAAATGTCAGTAATAATCTATTACTCCACAAAATAGACAGTATTTAGGTATTTAAATTCATCTAGTATACATAAGTTACCTTTTCCGCTTCTTTCGTATCATCGAATAACCTCTTTTGTTTATAAGCAGGACTGCGCTTAGCAGCTTCCCATACCTCCGCCCAAATATTACCAGGTATGCGCATTCTAGTGCTAAGATGGCCTTGCGTATACCACTGTAAAAGATACAAAATTCAATTCAATCTACAACAAAGAGAATTTACAGTAATAACTTTGAATAAAAATAGCTTACATTGGGATTATACGAATAATCTTTGCTATCCGTATTGTGCCCCCTTTCATTAAAATTTTTCGCTCCAGGATGACCAACGCGATTGGCACTTTCGTCAGTAGATCCTTCACTACTATTTTCTTCCTTAGAAGTACTTTCGTTTACATCAGAAACCAATTGATTTTCTTGGTTATTTACATCTTGCGCCTCATCATCAGTGATCATATGCCAATCACTATCGTCATCTTCAATTACAGAAACGTTATCTTGAGTCAAATTTTCTTGACTACCGCTGCATTCTATCGGTATCCAATCGCGCGGTGAATACCATCGAACAAAGTCTTCTAAGATGCATCCCGGATTTGCCGCCTAAATTTTTAATGAGAAAGAATTTAGTTTACTGGTACGTACCTTCGTAATTTAATATTGGAGTAAAATGCAAAACCTTAAAAGCTTCCATGTCCGATAAGAGAGAAGCACTTTGCATACGAGCACGAATACGAATGCCTTCTTCCGATGTTCCAAGTTTAGTAAGAATCTCAGCTTGTTCTGACAACATATCTTCCGTCATCGGAGTTGGATCCTGTATTATAAAGCAGCAATTAAATCAAGTTCTATGGTAGCTTAATCTCAAAAACTGGCCCTTTACCTGGGTGATAGGAATATTCATGGGAGTTTTTGTTTCTAGAAGTAATAAATTGAATTCTTCCTTTACACCTATAGGTATTTGCATATCACTACGATCGTCTTCATCTGTACTATCGATTTCGTCATTCCGGTCGTCCATTGTTGTAGTGACATCTTTCAAATCCTCATCATAACTTTCTGTTGACTTCTCAATGTTATCTGTTCCAGGTTTAATTAAAGTATCAGTTGCTCCATTTGAATCCTCAATTTGGCTTTCTTTCAGCGTATCAACGGTTTTATCTGCCTCATGTTTCTCTACCGTATCTGTATTATCCTTTGAATTCTCACTTTGGTTTTCTTCCGACTTCTCCATAACTTCACCCGCCTCATATTCCTCCATTGTTTCGAAGAATTCATCTTCACTACTAGATGCGTTATCTTTTACATAAATATCGCCATCAACTTTTACATTTTCTTGATATGATACAGATTCTTCCTCTCTATCATCACTATAATTTAATTTACTAGTCAGGACCTCTTCCTCTGTTTCGCGACTTTCTAGCATAGATCGCATAATCTTTCCATAGCTTAAAGAATTCCCAGATTTGAAAATAAGATTTTCGGAATGCGATCGTAATTCACGTTTGCGTCGTTGTAGAATACAACAGTTAAGCATCTACATCAAAGGCACGTCATAAGAATATTTTCATTGACACGGAGAAAATGATATTACCTATTACATGGCACTATTCATAATTACCCATTGAGAAATTAAAACATTCATGCATGACACCAGCGAACGTACCTGAAACTTTTGATGTAGTAGACTAAACTGCAAGTTTGGAGCCTCTAATTCCAACCTAAGATCGAAGATATGAGCATGAATATTTCCCCTTGTTTCAGAATTTAATACGCTAAAAATTAATGGCATACATAGGAATAATGATATTGTTTTCCCATCTATAGCGTAACTCCATGATAAATTCTCGCCACAGATGAGCGATCGCTCTTAGACCTTGTAAGAAAAAATTACTCTTAACCACATAATCTCGGAAGAATATTTAGCGATAACATTAAAACTTTTCGACTAACCTCCATAATTTCTATTGATTATACATAAGCTTATTGCTAGTGTGTGTGTCAGACTACCCTCAGGAGCAGACTTCAAGCCCCGAATAACAGTCTGAAATAAAAAAATTTTTAAGGTCATCACTTGTCGTATTCAATCACATTTTTAATCACAATCGAGTTTTTGCTATACATTAACTTGTAATCAACTTACAGATGAATTGCTATTGTATTTGTTTATCGGATGCCAAGAATAATCCGTAGCAGTGTTATTGTGGTAAAAGCTGCTCGACTGATCGCCATAAGATCTGTCTTCGGTTTTTATTGAATCAGGAAAAAGGCACTAAAGGCATAGTTGAATTAAAATAGACAATAAACGATAAACAAATCTAAGCAGCAAGGCTAGGAATAGCATACACTAGACAGTATTGCAACACCTCAGTACCTGCATTACTGTAGACAAGACTGCTGAAGGAATGTGCGATTCCTCACTCCCCGCGCGACTTACACGATTCGTCGCTTTAGACACAATGCGCGCCAGGCCCTTATCAAGAATCGGATGCACCGAAGAGTCCGTGATTTTATCTAAGGCCTGAACGACATGACTGTCCACTAAGTGAAGGGATAGATGTCAATATTTTCAACCGTAGAAATAGACGATGTATGTATTACTTTAAATGCAGATGTAAACAATACTTACTTTCGACATTGTCATAAAAATTCGCAAAACCGATTAATTCATCAGTACTTTCAACACTTCTACATACATCTATGAAGCGGCTCAAGTAACTCTCTGTAATATAACCGAATAAAAAAATCGTATCAAGGCAAGCGGAAGCAATAGTTGATTTTCAGTGTATGTTTCGGCACCTAATAAACATGGCTTTTTCGTCATTACAGCTCTTACAGACCATAAAGGTGCTTCATATGGGTCTAGATCACTTACGTAAAGAATATCGATGTAGTGTGAAATCGAAGCTTTGAATTAAATATTTAATATGCATGAACATACCTGTACAAGTTGTTATCAACAAGAGCCGATTCTGCAACACTTGGCCAAGTAGCTGCAAGATAGATATCACTGCGATTTAAAGAAAAATGAAGATATTGTAATGACCTTATTGCAATTAAAAATTGGTATATTTGTCGGAATTATCAATCATATTCAGACCATTTACTTATAGAAAGTTAACGAAACTAAAAATTTACATAATTTTAAAGTAATTTACATCATAAAGAACTAAAAGAGATAAAGGTTATGCGAACGGTTTTCGTAAATTTGACTGCATGCCTCAACAAGCCAAAGTAATCTTTCACTAATTGTTAATGATATATTAGCACTATAAACCTGTTAAATGAGTGTGTTATACTTAGCCTACGATAACGGAAACATACGTGATCGGATCTTCTATGCTGCCAAAAGGTAAAGATTGAAAGTCAGAAGTGCCTATGCCTCCGGTTATATAGTTTGAAAGGTCTACAGAACGAGAGTAAACAGAAATCATCACATATCAGTTTTAAATAAACCAACAATATTCTATCAGTACTATACCAGGTATTTCCTGTGGCACCCAAGGCGAATATGTAAAGCAATTTAATATATAAGTTTGACGAATGGAAACAGATATTTCCGCAGAAGGTATATATGAACACTGAAGTTAAAAAAATGTTATTTTCACATTTAGAAACGTTGCAAAAGTTAAATGATATTCCTTACTTTAAAAATTTCTATCACACATAAACTTACTAATTTAGACTTGAAAATATCTATTAATCCAGACAAATGTCTATACTGAGATGGGGTATTGTTCAACTGTACCATCTCGAAATTGGCACGGAAATTTCGATTGAGGCACAGACCAACATATAGTCGCCGTCGTAATTGCTGCAGCTGTAAAAATATTGGTAATTCACTGCAATACAAAAATGAAATAGTGAAACAAAATCGAAACAATGGAGAGCATCGTACAGCATATCACTGACGACATTAGTATTTAGTTTACTAGGATCGAATATAATGCACGAGCTTTCAGATTACAAGCAATCATGACCTACCATTTTGTATTAGAGAGACAGATAGATACCGCACTCAAAAGCTGATTGCCTTTTGATTCACTCGTGATAGCATATTCTGCCTTCGCAGGAGTAATAGTTATGAATTCTTTCACTCCGTACCTTTAAGGAAATAATGATGTTGTCAGTCATACTCACTATGCGTACTACGAGCTAAATTCGTTATGAATGACTACTGAAATTTAAACGAAGTCATATAGTGACAAATATATTTTATTTATCTAATATTATAAAAGAATGCGCTATACTTTGTTTAGTAGCTAGGAAGTACATTTCAATTAACAAAATTATCTTATGACAATTACCAGCGAGTCAAACAGTGAGCTCTCGATGGAAAATCATTAATTGTTGATTGCATATCGTACATCATTGGAAGAAAAGTATCTAAAATATATATAGTGTTAGATTAATCTTAACGATTATAAAAAAGTGAGTGTAATAATGAAAAAAATTCTTTGCAATAAATACCATCATTAACTCCATCAGGTCCTTTCACATTACTATAACAATAGTGAGTAACTGAATATGGACATTCTCTGAAAACGATAATTTCTTGATGTCGTTGATCTGGTAGTTGCTTTCGAGCTTCATCCTCCTAAGCATTCATGTTAAATTCAATCACAATCGAAAAACATTCAGATATGATGGTTCGCCTTATTTACTTAATAACTACTGTAAAAATTTCAAAAATACGTTAGTAAAATTAATAATTATGTAATAGTCACTCTTACAATTTATGTACATGTTAAGCTAATTTTATTTTATCAAAATCTGATCGAATCAATGCAGCAATCTAGCGTAGAATAGTAGATATGAGAATCCGCATGACAATTTTTTGATCAATACAACTGTACTACAGTATGATAGCTAGGAAAAAATATAATCATATCGGACTTTATAGCAATGTACTGTAATAAGCTACCTTATTACTACATAGAAAAAGTGAGATTTATTTCTATATTTCTGATTAAATTCATTGCAAAGTTCCATAACGCCATCATTGTATCTGAGACTATAAAGCTTCGATCTGAACATTAATCACTCTCAAGATTATTGCGCTAAGAGTATACATTAATTTCTAGCGACTGAATAATGTTATAGTTATAGATGAAGAATCTTGGCTATTGTGATATACATACCTGAGATGCCGAAGACTGATCACTGTTGTTCAATTTCCACTGGATTATTAGTTCATCTAAGTCCGCTATAAACCTGAGTCGTATTTTATATATAGCAGAGTTAAAAAATTTTTGAAAACATGCAGTAATAACAAATACAAAACTCTACATCATCAATTTTGCCATTTTGTATTTCATTTAATATATTCAGGCTACTATAATGTATTTACAGGCTTTATAATGATTGCAACATTTGGTAATTTAATTGGCATATTTGTAGTATTGGATATATTGTTGAAAGTATACCATAATAATAATTACGATATTAACTATTATAAGCTAAACTAAGGCTCATAAGCATCTTCAATCTTTCACCGATAGCTAATATCCTGCATTTTATTTACTCGTTCATAGCTTAAATTTTGGAGAAAATTCTGTTATTACAACAAAGGCAAGAATGCATTTCCTATGTTAGCATTGTTATATGTCTACTTAAACAGGGCGTTTAACTAAAATATCTACATCTATTCATTTAAAAATCTAAGAATCTATGGTCACGGCTATGGTTATTCATCGAATACAATTTAAAAATAGCACAAAATCCTTTTTTACCAGATTGATTGTGGCGTAATGTCAACAACACGTACGATAGTTTTCAAATACTCCAAGACCGTAACTGCAAGTATAAGTGATTATTTTCGCAAACTAGTCTGCGCTATAGTAACTCCATAAACTGCAGAAGAACCATAATAGGATAGTTTTGGTTAAATCGTGGGCTGTATACATTATTTTACGGTAGCATATGCCACAATGTTGTATTAATTAGAGACACGAAGGTATAACAATGAGGGACATTTAAAATCGTCGGATCTAAGACAGTAAGTGAGAATTCAGAATGCAATATTTACTAATTTACTTGCCTAAAAAATTCCATGACCTATCAGAACTGAACATTAGCGTATCACTGCTATGTAATACTACTTATCGTACAGTATTAGAGGTGGTTTGTGTCTCAAATTTTCGTTCCTTGAGGGTATTTTTCTAATGAAACATTGATGAAGACTGAATTCTTTAATTAGGAAACTATCTGATGCAATAGCTAACTACTGATGTTACTTTATATTTATTCTGACAATAAGATTCTGTCTGTTCATACACGTGGTATTGCATAAACCTATCATAAATGAAAAGATGGAGTACTTTGGAATATTTTGACTATACTGTAGTATAGTCAAGCAATTGAATACTTCAAAGAAATCTTTAGTACGTCGAGTAGACTGTACTGTCGAGCAAAAGCAGAGCCTACACATACCATTACAGTATCAGTATCGTCCCTAACATGTTGTGATTCAAAGTAATCAATTTCTTTATAAGGTAAAGTGATTCGGATTTACTTGCATCATCATGGTAGAACCGTTATGACTACATCAAGTTCTTGACCAATCACTGAATCAACTATCATGATCGTTAGCACAACAAATAGATATGATTTGTAAACTAAATAAAATATGTGCCTTTTAAATTACGTTACTTATAACTACAATAAATACTCGGAAAGTGTATTCATCAAACTGATCTAACAGCGACAGATAATTATAATGAATGACCATAAAGAGCGCTTGCATAATTTTACTATCCGTATCATCGCCTAAACCACAGTATATCATCGTCCATCTCAGACCAGTGAGAAGAATTTTGTCTAGACAAATTTATTCATTTGCTTATTTACGCAGCTACCATGATTGAGTCTACTGCTCGTTCGTAAGTGTTTCTTTTTTTACGTCATATTACCAAACATAAACTATCGCTGACTTTCAACGACCAATTCAGTATCTATGTGCACTTATACTGATATATTAAACTCAATAGTATTTTTCGATCGTCCCATAACAACGAAAAAATGTTGCACACATGTTTCCTTAACACTAAATGAAAATGGGACTAATCGATCCTGAAACTGGATAGTAAGCTAGTAATTATCATATGACTAATTATCTTGTTCAACAAAGGCTTTTCCGAGAATTTTGGAAGAGACTGTATATGTTCTATAACTATAAAGGGATCGCATTACGGTATCTAGCGTAGCTCAAAATGCGGGTGTTGGCAAGTACAGTATTATTGAGCGACTGGAATGAATACAGTTGATATTTGCTGATGTTATAGAATTTAACGGGCTAGCACAGTATTTGAACTCTCTTGACTCTACAGTAGGGTAAATGTGTTGTAATGAATTCATTAGTATTACTAAAATCTGCTTTATCTGTGTCTATTGTAACTACTTTTCAGGTATTTTGAAGCTTAGATATTAATGATCATTACACTATGTGGCACCAAAAAATAGAGAAATTACATCATTACAAATTTCTCTGTCGGTCTTTAGGATGCCCAGTGCAGTACACTTGGCATCAAATTGAATTTAATGTGCTACTGATTCCCAATGAGAGCCATGATGAGAGCACTTTACTATTTGCAGTAAGGTGATTGTTGTGTCATGGACTACTAGATGTACCATCGTATATCTAGTAATGTATGATTGTGCATTCCTATACAGTAGAGTGTACTATCAATCCTCGTACTGTTGATTGCGAGTGGATAAACTCGATTAGAACTCTATCCCATAAGATGCGAAAGCATTAAAATTGACATCCTTACCTTTCCCAATCAGAGGCAGTGGTATAGTCGACAATTTCTTGCACGTCTGCGGACTACAGTAAATCAAAAGAAAATCATGAATCCATCGATCATCAATATGATCGTCCAACATACTGGAGTCAAGTTCAACATACAGTCTAAGATGTACAATAGAATCAATATTACAGCAGTGTCATGCCGCTGACTGAAACGACATGTATCTTCTTTCATAACATAACACAAATAACCAACTTTCCGTTTAATATGTCAATGTAGCATCATGATATAAAATAGCTCATTCAAACTTACTTCGTCTTCCGCCATTTTCAAAATGACAGCAGTCAGCGCACTACAGAAGGTGTGTGTGTTCAGTCTGATGTGAGTGAGGTGCTGCTGAGTCTCATGCACAGTACATACACTGTAGTGCTGTGCAGTATGTACTGTAGCATTGTACTGTACTGTACTGTACTGTACTGTACAGTATGAAAAACTTTCTAATTTTACCATGTTGATAATACAGTACATTGTACTGTATACTGTGGCCTGTTAATATCAACTCAGTACGGTTCAGTATACTGTATTGAGTAGACTGTATGAAGCTTAGGGTTTCGGTGGCTAGGAAAGTGATTGACTGGACTATGAGTATCTATAGTGACAACAAGAATCGCAAAGAGTTTCTTTCGTGCATTTCAAATTTTAAACTTGATTGGCGTCGATTTTGCCATTTTTTTTTAATTCATTTTAGACATATCCATTGATATTCAGTGTCTAGTGTATCGGTAGAATAGCTTTTACAAAGAATTCTATACAAATGACGAGGCTAGTAGTGTACAACGTCCATGGTATCGGGGAGACAGTTTTCTATATAATGTACTGTTAATTAAGTAAACACAAACATCTTTATTTATTGTCTCATCAGATACCTATAATTATATATAGAATCATTAACACGTTAACGTTTCAGCTAAAGAGACGATAAACCTTCCATAATATTGACTCTACTGCCGATATGATAGAAAGTCGTTGTTACTAGCAGTATCAGACTCGAAGTGATGAGCATAGGGCTTGTATGAATGCGAACTATTCATTCTACAAATTAATATATGCAACTTCTCATATATCAAATTAGCGCCAGACTTGAACCCTTCCGGCTCCAGTATCGGCATCAGCATAAATGTTATTGTTTGTAAGAAATGTCTCATTCAAGCATATAAATATCGACATTTTCAACTTCAGTATGCAACCATAATCGTTTTTAGCTTTTGCTATCACTATCAGTCTTGACTACGTCGTATCATTTTAATACTGATGTGCTATTTAAGAAAGTAAATCTAAATTCAATTCCGATGCATAATGTGAATATACGTATGAAGCTACGCGTATAGTGTATGTATAATCGTTTAGCATCAGTATTTCATAGTTATACCGTATTATGAATACTTTTTGCTACATTACGAGTATTTATGTCAGTAGTGACGTTCTCATATTAATTTAGGTATATTTAAAAGAAGCGTAGGATAAGATATTTCAAACTTACATTGAAATAAGCCTAAGGGAAATACAACTACAGTATACAAATAGAAAAGGACAAGTTTAGATAGGGAATCAATGACATTAC